CAATAACAATCCAGTCCCTCTTGATGGCATTAATCCATCCATGAAGAAGGGTCCCCCACCATCATGATCCAAGAACCTGCATGAGTCAACACTGCCCCAAAATTGCTACATTGTGGAATGAAGCTTCACCTTGAGTTTGGGTGGCAATCAAACATATAATTCAAACCGCAGCAGCAGCCTTTGAGTGTGACCTTTTTCCCTGGCTTCTACTCAAGCCAAAACTTGCAGGTCCACATTGCTGAGAGGTACAAAAGCCTAGTTACACTCCAACATCCGGAGATTGTCTCAGAGGCTGTCACTGGGAAAGAGAAGCATACCGTGGGTTCTGGCCTCCTGTTACCACTCTTTGTATTTGAATGAAGATGTACAGTATCATTTTTAGCACTCTCTTCTCTGTTTCATTTTCATAAAATTGAGCAACAGCTCCAATCTGACTCTAGAGCTCTGAGACTTTAAGCACATAACTATCTTATTCTTAGAGAGAAGACAGAACTTTTGAAAGGCAAGAAGATGTGAGGAAACACGAAGTTAGAGGTAAAACAGCAATTCTGCAAACACATCAGCCTTCAGTCCCATGGAATAAACAGGATCCCCTTGCTAACACATGTTTTTGATGCTTGCATGAATTCTGGATACTTTAACAAAGTGCTGAGGCATTTGCCACTTTGTAATCAAGACTAAACAAGCCAATGGACCTCCCCAGGAGTCACCTTTAGGACAGAGATGGGCCATCATTAAACAACCAGAGCCAGTGAATGCAGACCTCGCCCTTCCCCAGTGATGCATCGGTAAGTACTTCAGTGGAGCAGATGCACAGGTAATCACCCATTGAGTTAATATCCCTCAGGTGAGGCAGGTGCTGGACATTTCCTAGGTTTTAGAGACAAGAGACTTGGCTTCCAGGACTTACTTTATCATTAACTAGGCATGATCTCAAAGAAGTCCTCTTTTGTCTTGGGGAGACACAAGCAGGAGATAGAATGGAGTTGTCATCTAGCTTCAAAGTGGAAGACCTGCAGGGGGAAAAAAAACAACTAAGGAGTAACATCTACTTTACTATTAAAAAGAACAGTGCAAGTCAAGCCTCCGCCTGCACTTTCAACATCTCATATGGGTTATGGTTCGCTTCGAGTCCCAGCTACTCCACTTCTGACCCAATTCCCCACTGGTGGCCTGGGAAATAAATGGAGGATGGTTCAAATGCTTGGGCCCCTACACCTAGCTTAAGACCTCGCTTAGAGGTCTTAATGGCCCCAGCTCTGGCCATTGTGGCCACTTGAGATGTGATCCAGCAAATGGAAGATAGGAGGTTCTTTGTTTCTCCTTCTCCTTCCATAACTCTGCCTCTCAAAGAACTTTTTAAAAATATCTTTAAAACCGGTGCAGCTTCTGTAGGGGTTCTTCAAAAATAAGACACAGAATTATCACTGGATCTAGCAATTCTGCTCCTAGACATATACTCAAAAGAATTAAAAGCAGAGTGCCTGGCACAGTGGCTCAACTAGCTAATCCTCCATGTGCCAGCTCCGGTATACTATAAGGTGACCAGTTCACGTCCCAGCTGCTTCTCTTTCCATCCAGCTACCTGCCTATGGCCTGGAAAAACAGCAGAAAATGGCCCTAAGCCCTGGGCCCCTGCACTTGCATGGGAGACCCAGAAAAATCTCTTGGCTTTGGGCTTTAGGTTGGCTCAATTCTGACCTTTGTAGCCATCTGGGGAGTGAACCAATGGATTAAAGATCTTCCTCTTTGTCTTTCTTTCTCTCTGTAAATCTGCCTTTTCATTAAAAATCTTTTTTTAAAAGGATTAAAAAGCAGATATTTGCACATTCATTACTATGGACAGCATTACTCATAATACCCACAAGGGGAACAGAGCCCAAATGCCCTTCAACACAAGAACAATAAACCAAACGTGGTCTGTTCACACACTGCAGTCTGAAAAAGCAGTGCAATGTTGACACAATGTTGAATGCTGAGGCTGTGCGCTGAGTCACAAAAGCACGCAGCCTGTGGTGAGGTGCCCCTCTCACAAGATACCTAGAACGGGCAAAATCACAAAGTAGGTGTGGTGGGGTTCCCCTCTCATGAGTACTAAGAATAGGCAAATTCACAAAGTAGGGCAGAGGTTCTCCAGCGCTGGGAGGAGGGGAGCGAGAACTGGGAACCACTGCCTACAGGCTGCAGAGCCAGTAAGGGCCCCGGAGCCAGTGTGCAGGCAGGGATGGTTGCCCAAAAGTGTGAGTGTGCCAAATGCCTCCCAACTGTACACTTCAAAATGGCCCGAATGAGCATGAACCAAAACCAGACCAAACACCCTCTTATGGGCAAAGCGGTTCTATAATCAGGTAGAAAGTACCCAGGAGACATTTTTTACTTGAATGTAAAGGCTGGAAGCTCACCCTTCAGGGCTGGATGCTGGCTTCCTGCTTATCCTCCTCCTAAGATACAAACTGCCTTGTCCCGTATCTCAACTTCTTCACTACAGCACGGGGAATCTGGCACCCGACGTCCCACATCCGGGACCCACAGCTCTTACATGTGATTTCTCCAAGCGGGCACTGCATTGCTTATCAACCTGTTGTAAGCCCCGGGACATCCTCCCCCCAGCAGAACAGCAGTCTTTGAGATCTGGAAGTCTGCTTTGCTCTCATCTGCCAACAAATCAAAAGTTTCTCTCTTGCATCCCAAACCCTGCCCTAGGTATTAGGACTGATGTCAGGGAGAGAGAAGGTGCTTTTGGTAACAATAACAAGTGTGAGGCGATAGAGGACAGACAGACGACAGGTGCCTGCTGCAGGTGCATGGGGCAGAGGAGTGGACTGGCTTCAGGCCTCCTAGGTGGGCATCCTCCCTGCCCATCTTTTGTACAAAGCTCAGTTCAGTAGCTGTGAACTGAGCAAGTGAACTGAGCAGCAGGAGTGTTGGCTACCGTTTGAAATTAGAAAGAAGGCCAAGGCTGGAAATAAGGCCTGGCCAGGGACTGCCGAGCTCCTGACATTTGGCTGCGGGCCAGCTTGAAGGCCCACAGAAAGCCTGAGATAGGATCCTGCGACCTTGGCCTTGGCCACCTCTTCTCAACTCGGGATGACACCCGCGCGCCCTCTGGCGGCGGATGAGGCTCTGGAGCAGAGCCAGAACGGGGAGACAAGGCGTGGCCCCGTCCCTGCAATGGGTGCTGTGAAGAATCTGGAAGGATGGAATCTACAATCTTCAGCAAATGCAGCTCTACTTCCCCCAGCCACAGGGGACCCTCAACCGTAAGCCCCATTTTTCTCTAATAAAAAATCGCTCAGCCCCATATACAAGGTGCTGGATGAAGCCTGGCACCTGTTTTCAGGAAACCTGCCTTAAGCCTGCAGGTTGGATACAAGTTGTTAGTCAAGGACAGAAGAATGCACACCTGTGACAACAATTCTATCCTGCCCTTGACCCAGTAGGATATTTACATGGCCTCAGTGAGGGATGCTCAGATTAAGAAAGAGGGAGATAGAGAGATGACACCATCCATTCCTAGAAAAACAGCTGCTTGTGAACACATACACGTATCCCAGGACATCACAAGGTGCAAAGAGGAGCAATAAGAGTTCTGGAAGCAGGGCAAGGTTCTTCTGGGGTCAAATCCACCAGCATTGCCTTCCCTAATGTTGGGAAAGTTAGCAGTATCTTGCTGCTCACACAGCTTCACGCTGGAAGTAACAGCATTTTCCCATAGGGTTATTGAGATGATTAACTAGTGAAGGTTAGTTGCATGAACACTTTGATTCTATTTCCACTCACTCAGTGGTGTGTACCACCTCATTCAGTAATACAGAGCCTTAAAATGAAGGCGCTGCCCACTGTGGCCTAACAGGCTAAACTCTGTGGTGCCAGAATCTCCTGTGGGTGCCGGTTTGAATCCCAGCTGTTCCACCTCTCAGCCTGGGAAAGCAGCAGAGGATGGCCAAGGCCTTGGTCCCTGTACTCACACGGGAGACATGGAAGAAACTTCAGATTGGCCCAACTCTGGCTGTTGTGACCATCTGGGGAGACCTCTGTGTCTCTCCCTCTTTCTCTACAGCTCTGTCTTTTGAGTAAATAAATCTAAAACAACGAAACGACAAACTTTCAACACATTTTACAACCCAGGCTATCTTCTATTACTGATGCAAGCATTAGGCAACATCCCATCCAAACTAAAAACAGCATGCCTGGGTACTTGGGATGAACTGGTTGGACTGGTTGACAGCAAGGTTGTTTCTGTTCCTTTCCTTGTGAGGGAGGGGGAGGGCAGCCGTGCCTTCCTCAGCCTGTGCCTTTCTGATGCATGTCTGGGAATCTCCTGTTTGTGAAAAAGTTCATCCGTGGAGGGCTTTTCCCTGTTTCCTCTGAGTCTCAGTGTGATGCCATGGCAGCCTGCCTCAGTGACCCCATGCTTAGGTCTGGACTGTTGGGGCCTAGTGCGGAAGCTCAGGCCTAATAAAGGCTTTCCGTCCATTTCATGAACAGTGGGAAAAAGTTTCTGTCCTCAAGGAGTTATTTACAGAGTTGATAAACTGTTCCCAACAGAAGCAAACAGAAAGGTGTACAAGGTGTACTGGCACTCACACCTGTGGAACGTGCGCGTGGCTGGCTCCGTCTGCAGAGCCTTAGTCACTACCCGTGACTGCCCGACTCTTCCTCGTTCATTTGTATGTTTGTGGACACCCAATCCGGGCGTCGCGGGGCCCGGGGAGGGCTACCAGTGCCACGCTGGAGAATCCAAACAAGGGCAAAATCTGAAGTGTTTGGTGGTTGGGGTCTGGTTTCGGGGTGACTGGGACAAAGTCAGGGGGACTTTTCTCCCCGCCCCCAGAACATCTCTCACCTGGAACCTGAGGCCAGGCCTTGCCTGAGAAGCAAGCCCCTCAAAGCCTGGACGGGCTTCCCGGGAACAGCGTGGCCGCGGGGGCCGCGCGACGAGCCGTCACGCGCCCAGGAGCAGCCCTGCCGCCCGCGCCTCAGGCCGGGGCGGGCCGGCGCGCCGCTGCGCATGCTCGGCCGGAAGTGCGGGAGCCGCGCGATGGCGCAGGCCGGGCGCGCCGAGCCGGGGAGCCTGGGCCGGCGGCCCGCGTTCCGGGGACTCCCGCCGTGCGCCTGGGGCCTCGTGCTGCTCTGGCTGACGGCGACTGCGGGCGACCCTGCCCGGCGCCACTGGCCGGTTCCCTACAAGTGAGTGGGCGACGCGCGGAGCCCTGTGGGCCCGGGGGTGGGGAAGGGGATCCTCGGGGACGCCCTCCACCTCCGGGCGAGGGGCGCAAGGCTGAGGAGCGCCGGGGCCCGGCCGGGGCGCGCCCCCTTGGACGAGAAAGGAGACTGAAGTCTTCCGGTGACCGCCTTCCCGGAGGCTTGGGCAGGCGATGGCGTCAGGGTCGCGTGCAGGACTTTGCGCCGGGTCCTGTCGTTCGTTCTCGTGGTGCTGGGCTCTGACGGCCCTAGGGTCGCAGCTGCCATACGAGCTTGGGGCAAGTGCCAGACAGCTGTGCGCCCACCCGGCGTGAGAACGCAGGAACGGGGGCGGCGGGGCCCTCGTAGGTTTGTGGGCGACCCCAAACGCCATCCCTCCCAGCTGTGGTCCGCCCCGGGAGGCCGCGTGTTCTTGTTCACCGCGCGGGTTTGCTTTGCTCCCAACCCACCTCCCCCTTCCAAGCCTTTTTATGTCTGATGTGAAATGGTAACTTTGAGGTTGAAGTTGATTTTCTCAGACATATTAATAAAATGATATTCGTTAAGGAAAGAAGGAGAAGATCCATAGATCTGCAACTTTTTGACTAGCAGAGCCGAGTTTGAGTTCTTGCCACATCTTTCGAAGTTTCGTGTGATTAAGTGTGTGCTGTCATCCAGCCTCCTCATACTTAAGCTATGCTCTTAAAACTGTCCTTGACCGAAAACAGATTTATGCCGTGGGCCCAGGAAGCCCAGGTGCAGTTATACTTTTGTTGAACTTGCTTAAGTGCCTGTGACACCGTGTTCCCCAGCCTCAAACACTGGGGGAGTTGTTAGTGCTTTCAGTGAACATCATGGTTTCGGGCTCGTCAAATGCACGATTCGTGTCGACGTGCTGGGGCTGTGAAACAGGACATCTGGCTAGGACCTTGGGGATGGTGGGTTTTGGGGGGACAAAGGCTAGTTCTCATTTTGCTTTCTATTCCAGCGGCAAGTGCCAAAGGTGAGCCCACCACCGTTGAGTTGAATTCTTGTGTAGCCCTCCACAACCTCAGCTCTGCTGCAGCCGTCTTAGGCCCCGTTTTCTTGCCTGCTTTGTGCTTTCTTGCGCTCACCTCCTAAAGCAGCCGTAATTTGGAATCTGTCCCCCCTATAATTCGTGAAATGAAGTTTACTGTCCGTTCACTTCTGCCGCTTAGGGCTCTTTCCAGCTCGCCGCTCGCGTAGTCTGCCTCTAGGTGGTGCTGTTCACAGTTTCTTAGCAACAAAATAACAGCCCTTGCTTGCCTCCCCGCCTGCACACCTGCCCTGCCGCTTCAATTCTGCTTTCTACACCTGCTGGAGCTCCTTCAAATGCCCTGTGGCTGAAAGTATTCCTTTCTCCCCCTTTCTGCCCTCGCTTTCTTTTTTAAAAGATATTTATTATTTTATTGCAAGGCATATATACAGAGAGTAGGAGGAACAGGATGATCTTCCATCCATTGATTTCACTCCCCAAGCCACCACAACTGCTGGTGCTGAACTGATCTGAAGCCTGGAGCTTCATCCGGGTCTCCCATGTGGATGTAGGGTCCCAAGGCTTTGGGCCATCCTCTGCTGCTTTCCCAGACCACAGGAAGGAGTCTGGATAGGAAGCGGAGCTACCTGAAATGGAACCGGCGCCCATATGGGATCTAAGCGCATTCAAGGCGAGGACTTTAACCACTAGGCTACTGCGCTGGGTCCTGCCCTTATTTTCTTTACAAGTACTTCTAAAAACTAAGCTAGGTCTTTATTTCTTTAACCTCACTGTCCCTACCTATCGCATGCCGAATAAAACTCTCACCTGCCTCTTCTTGTTTCATGCCTTCCCAGACCCTGCCCCCAGGCCAAACAACCAAAGAAGCAGTGTCTTAATGTTTGTTTCTCTCCTTCTGGTAGAGTGCCCTGCTCAGAATGTAACCTCACTAAGTAGTGAGTGAATGTATGTTGGCTAATTCTTCAGTAAGCATAGAAGATACTCTGTTTAATCATAACTTGAACAATCTTAATGTATGAATTGTTTGGAAGACTGAACACATTGAGGACTACTCATTTCTTCTGTAAACATTTGTACATCATTTTTATTTTGATGAGCCTTTTGTTTACAGTCCTCCGTCTGTTCCAGGGAGGGAATGGGGCGGGTGTGGTTGTCAGTGTGCTTTTTATCGATTGTTGAAAGATTATTCACAGGATCACAAGTAAAATGTATACTCCTTCCCTTTGTTTCCATAAAGAATTTATTCCAAGATTCCGCACAAATACAACTCTCTAACAGGAAATGGGGCAGCGCTTATTTGTGACCTGTGCGTGGCCTCCCATAGACTTCTAGTCATGCCTGGATCACTTAGGCGCTTCATACAAGGTGATGCTGTAGGCCCAAGCCATGAGTCTGTTCCCTGAGACTGCCTGATTAAAAATTGGATTCTAAAATGGGAAAGAAAAAATGATTTCTGGTTGAGTTAATGCCTTCTTTTTTTTTTTTTCTTTGTTAGACGCTTTTCCTTTCGTCCAGAGCCAGATCCATATTGTCAAGCCAAGTACACCTTCTGTCCAACCGGCTCTGCCATCCCAGTGATGAAAGATGATGATGTCATCGACGTCTTTCGGCTGCAAGCTCCAGTGTGGGAATTTAAATACGGAGACCTCCTGGGACATCTGGTGAGGGTGCATCTTGATTTTGTAACTTTGGACAATGGATTTGAGGGAGTAATCACTTATCTGATGGTTTTTACGTGACATTTTCCCATGTTCTTCCTAGAATATTTAAAATGAGTAATCAAAAGCAGATCCTGCTTTGTAGACTTGGCAGGAACAAATATAATAGCTTTAATCCCTTGTAAAATAACTCATCTGAATCCAATTCCTGTGACCCGGCACCTGGCCGCAAGGGAGGTAAGAGTTCCTGCCTGAGACTGGCTTGCAGTACTCACTCAGAGGCAGGAGGAGATGAAATGACAGGTGCACCTATGAGCTGAAGTGTCCCGAACCAGGGCCGATGGGGCCCAAGCTGGTGGGTGGACACAGGAAGGGCAGCAGCACTGCCTAGGCATTTGGGGTCAAGCACGTTTGCTCCCACCGGGTTCTCTGGACCCACAGGAACTTCACAGCCATGTTTCTCTACATCTGTGATTTTCACACAGAAAATCATGCACGATGCCATCGGATTCAGGAGTACGCTGACTGGCAAGAACTATACAATGGAATGGTATGAGCTTTTCCAGCTTGGCAATTGCACGTTTCCTCACCTCCGACCTGAAATGAATGCCCCTTTCTGGTGTAATCAAGGAGCTGCCTGCTTTTTCGAAGGAATTGATGATCTCCACTGGAAGGAAAATGGGACGTTAGTTCTAGTAGCGACCATATCAGGTAAGCTTCAAAAATATGGGTGATTACATCAATACTCATATACCCCCCAAACACACACAAAACCACTTCTGTTGAGTCATTTCTGCAATGATCTAACGGGTCATTTGTAAAATGTCCTCCTGGAACCAGCCTTTTTATTGCTGCAGAAGTTCACCCATGAGTGAAGAGTGGCCCAGCTTTTGCTCTATTTCCATTACAAAAAGAAATGTTAAAATGCTTTCTACAGTTAAATGTTCCAGATAACACGGGGGAAGGAATCCATAAAATGCCCAGGTAAAGGACCTGTTGACTCAACCTCAACATAAATTGTTCAGTAGCAATTAACTATCATACTGAGGAATCCTAGCTACTGTTGATAAGAACCTACTGTGGGTCTAGCCTTGTTCTGGGCATTCTGTGTATCTTCATGGCCAGCCCCTGAGCCAGGTACTGTTATTTTTACCCTTTTATAGAGGGGAATACAGGGACACAGAGGGGCTAAGTAGGTGCGACCGCAGTCTTGACAGTCAAACCTCGGAGACCATCCTCTAAACAAGCTACCCCAAGGATTGTGATCTCCAGCAGAGCAGTGCAGGAGTGGACCTCAGGGATGTTCGGTTCAGTTGGATTTGTTGGGAAGTTGTGCTGAAGTAGTTGGAATTTGGCTGCATGTGCTGTGCTGCTGGGTAGTGATGAAACGAGTTCAGCAAGAATGTCCTCAGTAACATGTTGGGTGACCCTTGGCTCATTGCCTTGTTGCATAGAATGAGGATGAATCAGCCCTTTTGTTTTAGAGGTCAGGCATTTGTTCACCCACGTGGTTTATCAAGTGCTGTGTCATGGTTTTCCCCTGAAGAGTGGGAACATCTGAAAGGACAGCACTATTTGTGATCAGTATTCATTGACCACTAAGACTTGAGGAGGTGATTGTGCATCCCACTTGTAAAGCTTTTTATAAGTCATATTGAGTGGTGTAAGTCACAGTTCAGTGGGGAGAGTAAAGTCCCCAATTTCCTTCTGCAAATAAGGATTTAAGGCTTAACCAGGTAACCTGACTATGATGACCACAGAGCTGGGATTGGTACAGTCAGGCCTAGAATTGGGGTCTTTTAACTGAATACACCATTACTATTTCCTCATCTTTCCTCCTGCTTCCTAATCCATGTGCCCCAAGTCATCCCAATAATATGAAATTCCACCTGTTTTTTAGAAACGCTCAGTGAACTAAATAGCTACTCTTTGATTGTTAGCCAAGTCACATCTCTCCCTTCTCCATTTTACCTGAATTGTTATCTAAAAGTTCCTCCTTCTGACATAAATGATTAAATGAACAAGCAATCACTGTTTCCTCTAAAAGTTTACAATAGGCCAGCACTTAAGTCTTTTAAGCCCTCCATCTGCCTTGTAATTCATCCTGTTCACTGACCTCTCTTCATGTTACAAAATAGTGCTTTGCAGCACAGCAGTGGCTTATCTCTTTAGTACATCAGTGGCTTTTCCAAGTTGAACACTTCTAAGAATAGTATCCCCAGTTCTAAGAAAACAGGCTTTAGAATACTCCACTATTTTGATTCCATAAAATCAATATTAGCAGTCACTATCCATTTTACAAAATACAAGTATTTTATGTAGTCAGGTTGGAGTAACCAAAGAAAGTTTTGTACACAGTGACAAAGGGAAATGCTACAAATTCTGACTTTGTTAGGGGGTATAAATTCCCAGACAAGGCTGTAACCAACCGAGTATGTTTTCTAAGGTGATAAGAGAGAGGATTAGACACTATGGAGTCTTAGGCAATCCACCAAGTTGGCCAAAGACGTTTCCTGTTTAGTTAGTTCATTAGAAGAGCATGTTGGGTAGGATGGTGATTAGCTGCATCCCACACCTGGTGCAGGTACAGGAGGACCACGGACATAGCACAGGTTCAGGGTGGCCAGGGCATGGTGCACCTTGGGACGTTGGTAGGCCGGTCTGTATGTAGTCTTGGTCCACAGTGCACACATCATGCTTGGCTACAGAAAAACCCTACCATTTGTCCTGTTTTCCCAAAAGGGTTTCCATACACTCATCTCTTCTTCCGCACAGTTCTTCCCTTGCTTTCCGTTTCTCTTTTGCCTTTGATTCCAAGACTGTTTGAGAAAAAGACATCCTTCATTTGTATAGTCTTTCTTTGACTATAGCTAGAGAATGGTTAATTATAATGATTACAGAATTAGTATAGAAGACTTCTCTATTCCCATTATATCCAGTGTTTACAGTTCAGCAACCATGAAAAATGAAATACAAAGTGGTTGAACTTGGATTTGTATTGTGACATGTGCATTTGGAAGTTCAAAAACTAGTTTTTATTCATATGCATACATAGTTTTAAGTAGATCAGAGCCTTTTACTGAAAAATACCATGATTTGCTTTGTTATTCACACGGATGATTTTTTTTCTTTTTTTTACTAGGGGATATATTTAACAAAATGGCAAAATGGGTGAGAAAGGACAATGAAACAGGGATTTACTACGAGACATGGACTGTGCAAGCCAGCCCCGAGAGGGGGGCAGAAACGTGGTTTGACTCCTACGACTGTTCCAAATTTGTGTTAAGGACATATGAGAAGTTGGCTGAGCTTGGAGCAAAATTCAAGAAGATAGAAACCAACTACACAAGAATATTTCTTTACAGTACAGAACCTACTTACTTGGGAAACGAAACATCTATTTTTGGGCCAACAGGAAACAAGACTCTTGCTTCAGCCATAAAAAAATTTTATTATCCCTTCAAACCGCATTTATCTATCAAAGACTTTCTGTTGAATCTCCTGAAAATTTTTGATTCAGTGGTTCTACACAGACAGTTCTACTTGTTTTATAATTTTGAATACTGGTTTTTACCTATGAAGTTTCCATTTGTTAGAATAACATACGAAGAAATCCCTTTACCTGACAAAAAACCAATGCTGCCTGCTTTATGAAACCTGAATTCTACTGTTTGCCCTCCCGCCACCAGCATCTCGTGTCAGCGGCTAGGTTTACATTTGGTGATTTCTCAGCCTTTCACCCTGGAGCAGAACTGTGAAAAAGCACACAGCGGCAGAATTGCTGCACCTAACTTCTCAGGGCTTGACTCTCAAGAGAAATGGAAATGCTTCCTCTCCTGGCAGAAGCAAGCATGCTTTGTGATCCGGATTTCAACTCCCATGCCTTTGCTAATATGGAGAATTGTGCCTTGCATTAGACATGTACAGTCTTTGGAGCCAGCATTTTTAAAGTTGTGGGTATTGGTGTGCCAAGATTTCTTAGATATCCCCAACATTTTCATGGTGGGAACTGTTTTTTGTGGAGTGATACAACTTTTCATATGGTGTGTTCACACTTCGATTTTTTAAAAAATGGCTATGCCAGCTTGCCCCTGTTACAGGTCCAGTAATCCAGCATTCCATTACTTGAACTTGAGCATGTGCGCTTCCAGATGTGAAGAATAGTGTTAAAGAGCAGGAACTCTCATCCGAACTAGTAGTTAACTGGGTTTTGTGATTTGAAGCAACTTCTCTCAGCCTGCTTCCTGATCCTTAAAATCTGTCAGGATTGCTGTCAAGATTGAAGTCATGATTGTCTGGCATCATAAGGTCACAATCAGTGGTAGCAACGATTAATCAAAAAAAATTTGTCATTCCTGATCTTGCCTAATGTAGTCTATGTGCCAGCCCTTCCAGAGTTTTGTAAGTTCCTGACTTTGAGCTGACAAGCATAGCACATCAGCAATTCCACATACATCCAGGACATGGAAGAATCTGCAGACACGGCTAGGTAAACAGGTACCTTATGATCTCCCACTGCTTTCCACAGCTTCCCTACCTCCAGCACATTTGCAAAAGATGCTTTTGATAAGGAGTTCCAAGTAGCTGTGCTTCCCTTACAGCCATCACATGAATTGTGAACATCCTGTAAGTGTTTGATGATCAGCTGCAAGTTTTCCTGCCGGTCGGCGTGAGATCCTGGAGCAGAAGCCGAGAAGACAGCCAGCGTTTACTGTGAATATACCAGTGACACTGTTCAGCTTCAGTTGTTTGCTTCCTGAGAGGCGATTATCCCTGAGTCTCCCAGAATGCCTCATCACAGTATTTTCCTGATCCAAATGAGTTGCAGCCCAGGAAGGCTAAGCGACTGTTCCCTGGCTCCCCAGCTGGTAGTTTAATGTAGTTCATTTTGACTCAGTTTCTGCTAGCTGAATCAGTTGCACCATACAGGCATTACAGTCAAGGTATAATCCTCCGTCCACTGACTGTCCACCACGTGGTCCTGTCTGTGAGGAGATAAGTACGGAGACTGAGAGGCAGGATTTCATTTTAAAAGCAATTTGTTGAAGCCTCTTGTTTCTGCTGAATCTAATAAAATGTGGGCTTGTATTCCATATGCCTTTGTTGTTATTTGTCTGGGAATTCATAATTATTGTTCAGGAGTCACCACCAGCTTGAGAAGTGCTGAGCTATACCATGCTAATGCATGGAGGTGGAGTCCTCAGACACATAGTGAGGACCCAACCTCGCTGCCTCCTGTTTAACCTGTGGACTGCCTAAATCAATTCCCAATTAATCTGCAAAATTCTCAGACCATGTCACAAGAAACCTTAATCTCCACATTGTCCTCACCTGCTGGCTACACATGGCACAATACCAACTTCTGCCAGATTCTTCGAACTGCCCTGGGGAAACAGTAAGATGACCAAGATCCTTATACCAAGTTTATGTCAACAGGAAAATACAGAATTACATCTGTACAAGGAACTTGACTTTTAAAGCAAGAATCAAATAAGGAAAAAATCAATAAGAATCAAAGAAGGAAAAAAGGCTGTGAAGGGAGCAAGTTTGGCCTAGCAGCTGAAATGCTAGCATCTTGTCAGAGTAGCTGGACTCCTGACTGCAGCTCCTGCTGGAGAGCACCTCGGGGGCAGCATAGGGTGGTCCATGCCCCCATCAGGTTCCTGGCAACCCAGAGACCTCGAGTGAGCCCTGTTTCACTGGATTTGGACCCCGCTGGCAGGCTAGTAGACCCTCAGCCTGCCACTCAAATATTTTAAATTAAAAGAAAAAAATCCAAGATGTTTCATTGTTCCTGAGAATATTAATAACTGGAGAGATTATGTAAAGGTAGCACATAGATTCAGGTCGAACACGAACCAGTGCCCAGATGGGATCCCAGCACCTGCAAGGCAAGGATTTAGCCACTGAGCCATCATGTCAGAACCTCCTACGGACATAGTAACAGCAATATCACTAAACTTCATCTCTCCACAATTTTTTGAAATGCCATCTGTCCTCATTAATCTGACCCAATAATAAGTACGTACAAAAAGTGCTATATAATGCATGGTTGCAATTGGAGAACAATGGTCAAAATGTAAATAAATACTGATAAACATTTGGAACCCATAGTACTGGAATCTTTCCAAATGAGGGGGAGGGGCTGGCTCAGTGGTGTTACTTGGTTAATCCTCCCTCTGTAGCATTAGCATCCCAAATAAGCATCAGTTTGTGTTCATTTCTGCACTTCCAAGCCAGCTCTGTTTAAGCAGTGGAGGATGGCCCAAGTCCTTGGGATCTGCATCCACATGGGAGACCAGAAAGCAGCTCTATTCTCTCGGTTTCAGATCGGCTCAGCTCTGTCCACTGCAGCCATCTGGGGAGTGAACCACCAGATTGAAAACTTTTTTTCTCTCTCCTCTGTACAAATCTTTCAAATGAAAAAAAAAAAAAAAAACAAACAACGGAGTGGCGCCCGCAAGCCTTAGGGAGTTCTATAGTTTCTACTGTGGCTGCCCATAGTCCAGGACCATACTCCTTTGATACTGCAGTGTTTCAAAACGCACAGTGTGCTTTCTCCCTGCTTTGAAAGGCAAAATTTGCCCTTCCTGGTTCAATCAGGTTTCTGTTCTTCAAACCTTTCTAGATTTCTTTAAACCAAGTATGGAGTGGACATTCAGCTGGTTCAGACACTCATGGCACATGCTGGAGCATCTTGGTGTGATGCCAGCCTCTACTCTGACTCCCAAGTTCCTGTTCATGCAGACACTGGGAGGTACAAGTGATTGCTTAAGTCACTGGGGTTGCTGCGAGACCTCGCTGTATCCCAGCTGCTGGTTTTTGCCAGCCCAAGCACTTGAGGAATGAACCATCAATGGAAGCTCCTGCAACTAAAAACTTCAGAAGGTAAGGTAGCCCAGGTCTTTGGCCCCTGCACCCACTTGGAGATGCAGAAGCTCCTGGCTCCGTTTCAGATCAGCCCAGCTCTGGCCACAGCAACCATTTGTGGAATGAGCCGGGAAATCCCTGATCTCTCCTGCTTTCTCTGTAACTCTACCTTTCAAATAAATAAATTGAAATGCTTCTGAAATGTCTCTTAAGTTATCCTGAATGGAGGATCTTTTCTTTTTAAAGATTTATTTTTATTATTTTTTTTATTGGAAAGGCGGGATCCCGGGCATGCAAGGCGAGGACCTTTAACCACTTGCGCCACCGTGCCGGGCCCTGGAGGATCTTTTCTTAGTGTAATGTTTTAATCAATTAACCTTTTAAAATGTTTAGTTTTTTTAAAAATTTATTTTTATTATTATTTTTTATTGGAAAGGCGGATATATAGAGAGGAGAGACAGAGAGGAAGATCTTCTGTCTGATGATTCACTCCCCAAGTGAGCGCAACGGGCCGATACTATGCCGATCCGAAGCCAGGAGCCTCTTCTGGGTCTCCCACGCAGGTGCAGGGTCCCAAAGCTTTGGGCCGTCCTCGACTGCTTTCCCGGGCCACAGGCAGGGAGCTGGAAGGGAAGCGGGGCTGCCGGGATTAGAACCGGCGCCCATATGGGATCCTGGGCGTGCAAGGCGAGGGTCTTAACCACTGCGCCACCGCGCCGGGCCCTAAAATGTTTAGTTTTATAAGCATCAGCTTATTTCATTAAACATTCACTAAAGAGATTTAAAACTAAAGCCACAAATTTCTAAATTAACAAATTTTAAAGTCAAATAATGGGTGTATCTTGGTAGTTTGTAAAAATAACACAACAGTATTAGCAACTATCTTTATTTTCAAATTGATAAAAGCATTTAACATGTACTTTACAGTATAAACAAATTTAGTGCTATGCATTTTACTTATAAAGTGACAAAGTATTTCAAGCATTATATACTTCAATTTGTACAAAAACTAAATTTTCAAATAAAGCTTTGGTTATTAGTAGAACTGATTATGTACTGTCAAATCCATTTTCCAAAGTTGTTTAAGGAGAAAAAAAAGGCCATCATCCACTATAACAGATAATGTACAATCAAAGGTCTTTACTACTTATCAATAGGGGAAATAATAAAATAATTTATTTTACCTTTCAAGTCTGTATCAACTTTTTCTCATTTTTATGTGGCAGCAGGATAAAATACCATTATTTTTGAAAAGCATACTTTATAAAGAAAATATTTCATTCTTAGGAAGGTCTTCTATTTAAGACTCTTAGCTTCCATAACTATCGAGACACTTTGTAAGTCACACATTGCAAGTATTACTGTATTCCACGAGGAGTAAATCATTGCTAATTTATCTTAGGAAGGGAATAACTGTTAGCAATAGAGCCCAGAATCAACACTTACAGAATTTCCAAAAAGAAAGAAATATGGCCCCAAACTTTGTAGTTTTACAGACTCTAAAATGCATGGATTACCCTTATTCATATGAAAGTAATATAAAATGCTACTTAAATAATATAAAAATCAGTTCAACCAAATTAACAATCACAAAACTGCAATATTTTTCTATTAAATTTTTCCAGTTCACTGAGCAATATTTATTTACTTGAAAATATGATTATGAACTTAAACACAGCCTCTTTAAAATTTACCGTTTATACTAAACTGTACAGTGGCGCTCCTTTTATGGTTTTTAAAATTCTACTTAAAACTATATAATTCCAAAATGGAAAAAAAGACCCATCACTAAAATTCACTGGGAACTAGTATTCTTTCTTGGAAACAACTTATAAACATTTTAAAGTTCCATCCTTAATTATTTCAATTTGGCTTTTTAAAGTAGATAAGCTGTTCATTTTGATTACTGTATAATACTTCAGAACTAGTTTAAACAAAAGATAAAGAAAATCAAAGAGAAATGGTAAAGCATTCCTTACTTTTTACATACAATACCTCAAGTGCCACATACAAAGTGACATCACAGAAAAGAACTTAAATGGTTTAGCAGATTACAGAGCAAACCTAGAGTTTTATACAAACCTAAACACTGTCTCCCTTATATTCCATCTATTTTTCTTGTAATTTGACCTTGGCTCTGTGTATTAACCACTGTGTGACATGTTTTCTAAGGGTTCCAATTACTTCTTTAAACTGCTTTGTAACATTTGAGAACATTCAATCTTTTTCATTAGATATGATATATCCTACATTTTTCTCACAAAAATGCTCACTTTCCTGAGCTATATTAAACACCTTATAACAGGTGTATGTATAACTGAAGACCCTAAAATATCAAGTTTACATTTTTAAAAAATGCATAGAGAACGTAACATTTCAAAAAACCTATTAGTGCTCGTTTTTTGGATATTAAAATATATAGGTTTTGTATCCTTCAGACAGTAAACTGTTTAATCTTTATAACTGGTTATTACTTCCACATCTGAAACTGCTTTTTGGAAATTTGATTGCTGTTATGCTGAAGAAACAAATGGAGTTTTCTGAAACAATCCTTACATACTCAACTGAAGTTGCCAAATTTCTTTGCCACAAAACAGAATTATGTCAGAACTACAGCAAATAAACTTACAATACATAGGCTTGAAGTTAAGGTGCTATTTGACATGCCCTGTATCATGCGGTCTTTACCAAGTGGGCATCATGTCTGGAAACCACACCCTACCAAGATGCTTAGACACTTCCCAATGAATCTGCTCCAAATTATACTTTTGATCAGGAATCAATACTTCTTCCATAATGGATAACTGAGACAGGCGGCCACCACACATCTTCACAAATTCAACAAAGGCACTACATGAGACTTCACATTCCCCCAGTCCAATGGCTGACAAGTTTTTGCAACGTTCTGCGATGCGAATCAATTCTTCATCAAGTGGTCGTAATCCATTAGCACACACTACTAATTCAACTAGCCTAGGGCAGGTCATTCCCACACGGCCAAGCACATCCTTGCTGACTGATCTCCCAAAGTAAAGATGGGTAGCAGGTATTTCATAACGAAAGAATGGGTCAAATTCCTCTTCATATAAAAAAAAATACATCACTAAGTTCACTTTGGGTGAATGTTTGATGAAAGCATCCCAGCTGCTCTTCTGAATGGTGTGGAAGTGTGTCTGCCCAGGATTCTCACTGACCACATCAATGCGCAAATGTTCTAACCGAACATGCTTTTCAGAAGACAAAGCAAGTAGCAACTCATCACTTAGTAAGTGGTAGTTCAGGGCCAGTTCCCGTAAGCCATGACACTGATCAGCCACGCAGAGGATACCTTGGAAGAAAAACACAATTATTTCCAAGTTATTATACAAGTTCATCTGCTCAAAACTTTAACCATGAACATATCCCACAAAATTCTGCTGTATTTCCCTTACCACAAAGCTATGCATGATTAGTTGTAAAATTGGATTATGAGATAAATCATAAGCATCTACAATTACAGATTTTCTAAAATTGAACCAACTGAAAATTCTAATGAAATTCACTTACCAACTCAGAAAAATCGTAACTAGAAAGTGTGTCATTTCAAATTATCCCAGGACTAAGTTTATCCCAGTAATATCAGCATTGTTTATAAAATAATTATCATTAACACTAAACCTACAACTTAAATGAGAAAAATTGCATTATTACCCTAACAGGTTAGACTTATTTTGAAATCCAAACCCTGATGCTAATAAAAAGACATTACCATATGCAACTGATTTACATAATGAAATGTATAAAATAAAATGTTTCCTTCAAATAATTAAGACTAATTGTTAACAGTATATAAAAAGCTTATTGGACTCAGCACAGTAGCCCAGTGGCTATAGTCCTTGATTTGCATTCGCCAGAATCCCAACTGGGCACTGGTTTGTATCCTGGGTGCTCCACTTCTCATCATCCTCCCTGCTTACGGCCTGGGAAAGCTGTTGAGGATAGCCCAAATGGGCCTGCACCTACATGGGAGGCCTGGAAGATGTTCCTGGCTGCTATCTTTAGACTGGCTCAGCTCTAGCTGTTGCAGCCACTTGGGGAGTGAACCAGGCGATGGAAAATCTTTCTATCTCTCCTTCCCTCTGTAAATCTTCCTTTCCAATAAAAATAAATAAACCTTTAAAAAATAACATCAAATTTTTAACAAAAATACTATGGTCTCACTAGGTAAAAGAAGCAAAGATAACCAACAAACCCCATTATTGGAAATACATATTATGACACTAAAAACTTTAGCATACCCAGAAAGCGTTCCAGACATAGTTTTCTATACTTAGTGTACCATGTTTCCTAAATATCCAAAACTTCAACTCTAGCAACAGATGATTGCCAAAGAGTCATACTTGATCACTAAAGTGACCTTGCCTAAGAATCCTATCCCAAAAGGCACTCTGTAATAGCTGATAAATAACATACTCAATACATCTCTTAAATCAAGGGGAAAAATACAGTATTGTGTTTTTCTGTAAACAGTAAACTACTGTTTACTGTCAAATATAACTAGATACCAGATACCCACCAATACTGAAAATAAATCTAGAAAACCAGTTACTTCTAATTTAGAAGTTGAGGCAGCTAGCTCAAAATATTTAAACTGGACTAATAACACAGGCTTAAATGACTCTTACATTCATACATTTACTGCTTATAAAAGGTAAAGGCCACCACAAGATAAAAACTTGGCAGCAATGGGAGAAGATAAAATAGAAAAACTCAGTCACTCGGAGGAGAGCCATCACAAGAGGAAGGAACTGATAACAGTGCTCTAGTATTCAGCTACTGCTGTGTCTCTCCAAGAGGCACGTACGTCTTCTGTAAAGGGAACACATACCATTCTCTGCAGTCTCCAGAAGGTTGATTTACAGACAACACATGCAAAATAGTAATCAAAAATGAAAATGGACTTTGAGGTATCATTTATTAACTACTAAGGGGGTTACAGAAGCTTAATACTAAAAACACTTCTGATATTCCATGCCCTAACACCTGCCATCTGTGAATAGAAGATGCCATGCCCATGATTATGTTTTATCTGTGGCACAGCTGACCACATAAAAATATTATCTGGTCTAATCACATGAGCCCCTTTAGAAAGTTTTTCTTCTGGCACTGCAGCATAGAAAGAGATCTGAACGAGGAGAGTTTTAGTGCAAAGTCCAGTGAGACATTTTAGAGCACAGAGCTACTGGAATTTAACACACAGCTCTGAAGTTCCAGAGACACCCAGAATAGGAGGCACTAACATATGTATCACAACCTAAAGCCAACGAAGATGAAATCACCCACAGTACAAAAAAGTTACACAGAACACAAGTGAAATATCACAATGTAAGGGGTGAAAGAACAGAAGGAAAATCATAAAGAAATATCAGGAATTTAATAACAAAAAAGAATAGTTATTAAGTATCAAAATTAATACAGACAATATGATGACTACATGAAATGGGGGGCCAGTTTAATAAAATGTTCAGTGGAGCAGGTAATAGTACATAATTTCAACTTAGAAAAACTGTCCAAATATGTAAAATACAATGAAAACATGTGAATATGTTCAGTTTTAAATTAAAATCTCATGTGGTTATATTCAATTAAAAATATTACCAAGTGACACTTCTTTCTCCTTCCTGAACAATTTCTGCAAAAGCCATCAGATGGGGCCAATTTACACTATGCTATCCGAACCCAAGTGCATATGCGAGAGAACACTGAGCTCACTGCGTTGGACACCAGGGCTCTGAGGCCTTTACACAAGGAGGCAAATGCTATGACCTCCTGAGCACTACAGAAGCACACGGGTCAGACTCACCGCAGAATAGGAGGACAATTAAAACAACTATCACAGAGCTGAAACTAAAGGCTGCACTCTAGCCAGATAAAAGGGGCTCAACATTTTTAACAAGTGAGAAAGGGGAGAAAAAAAAAATTTAGAGTATTCCACAGCACACAATGTATTTAACACCACAGAAAGGTACAAACTGAAAACACGTGCAGTAAAAGCTGCACGTGAGTACAACAAATAAAGAGATAGCCAGAGGTCAAGGTACAGAAGACCTTGCACAGTATGAGGCTATGAATACAGACTTAACTCCCACAAGCTGACATACACAGTACACAATAAGATAATCAAGGTCACATGGGAAACAGCTGTCAAAACATGCTCTTCCTTCTATTTCATTACCATCTCCCTAGCAGATGAAGCTAGGAAAACACAGCAGTGAACTCTGGATAGTCCCATTAGCAACGTCCTTGTGGGAGACTAGGGGAAAAAAAGCAAATAACTTTCATACCTGCTGGAGAGACATGTGGACAGCTGCTCATCTTCAGCAGCTTGAGTGTATCACTGTTGTTGGCGACCAACACCTTGAGGGAGGGATCATCCACAGGGGTGTCATCTATCTTAAGCGAGGACAGGGATTTGGAATTTACAAACACAACCGTCAGTGCAGAGATAAAGTGAGACTGAAAAGCAAAAAAATAAATAAATAAAACACTTTTCATTTTTACATCTGATCAATTAGTAGTTTTTAATACAAGTGACACATATGAATCCTAATTATGTATTTCACAAGTGTATTGGGGGAAGCAACTCTTCAATGTGCTGTGGCAGGAGGAATCTTTACAAAGTCCAGAATACATGTGTTCTATGAAAAATTTTATAATATTCCATAGCAAAAATCCTCAAGTTCTTTGTTCCCCCCGCCCCCACTATCTTCTTAAAGCACTCTCTTAAGGGAACTTACTGCTGTCTTGGAGAAGAAGATTTCTATCCTGGGGAGGTTACAGGGGACACCAAGGCCTAGGAACCTCAATCACAGCACCCACTGGTAAGTCAAAGAGCGATGAGGAACTCCAGTTGAGAACACCTTTCAGGTGCTTCATCAAATACGAAACCCTTTTTTAATCTATAATTCCAAGCTATACAGCACTGAACGTTAAAAATAGTAATAACTACTGACACAATCATTCAAAAAAATTAGTTGCCTACCAACCCAAACCCCATGCAAGACTGATTTGGAATACAGAAGCTCACTTAAAATTTTATTCTAACATCAAAACTGTACTTAAATACAATTCCACTTTTAAGACTTGCCCAGATACATTAAAATTACCTATAATATCTTCAAGTCTTCTATTTGGTTTTAATGTACTCTGTTTACAAATATACCAATGAGAACCATTCAACTGACCATGTATGTGTATGCGATAGGGATACAGAATCATCTCTCCTCACATTTGCATCAGGGATTTCTTTCCCCAATTCCTAATTTCATTCCCTGAATTAGTTTTGGTAAAAAAACATTTTCCCCACATTCTTTAGTTCTTTCAGGATTTGCAAAATATGGCAGCACCTTATTTCAATCTTCTACGAAAGCCAGAGAAGGAAACGATTAAGCTTCTGCTTGGCACTAGCATCCATTACGACCATAAGCATGCAAGCCAGCAAGCACTCCAGTTCCAGTCCCCGCTGCTCCACTTTCTACCCAGCTCCCTGCTAACACACCAGAGCCAAGCAGAGATGGCCTGAGTTGGAGGGTTCCTGCTCTCCCATGAGACTCAGAATTCCAGGTACCTGGACTCAGCCCAGCTCAGCCCTGGCCAATGTGTCCATCTGGGCAGTGAACCAGCACAGATAAAAGATTTTTTTCTCTTGTTCTGAAATTCTGCCTTCCAAATTAAAAACTTTTTTTTTAATTAAAAAGGAGGGGACAGATATCCCTGCTGATCCAAAGATCTCGAACTGTAATAGTACCACATATTTGCACAATGATAATCCTGGTTAATAACAAAAGAGAAAATTACGTTCAATCTAGCTTTTAATATAGTACACAAGAGTAATTGAAAAAGTTCATGGAAAATGGATTAAAAGTTGAAGCAGGGCCCAGTGTGGTAGCCTAGGGACTAAATCCTTGCCCTCCACACAATGGGATCCTATATGGGTACCAGTTTGTATCCTGGTTGCTCCACTTCCCTTCCAGCTCCCTGCTTGTGGCATGGACCTTGCACCTGCATGGGAGAACCAGAAGAAGCTCCTGGTTCCTGATCACTTCAAGCTTACATGGGGAGTAAACCAGCAGATAGAAAATCCTTCTGTCTCTCCTTCTCTCTGTAAATCTGACCTTCCAATAAAAATAAATACATCTTTAAACAAAAAAGGTTGAAGCAGGTACAGTGGCATAGACTGCTAATCCTCTGTCTACAGCACAGGCATCCCAATTGAACCCAGCTGCTCCACCTCCCATCCACCTCCCTGCTAACGACCTGGTAAGGCAGTGGACTATACAGCCCAAAGCCTTGGGACTCTGCACCCAAAGTGGGAGACCCTTAGGAAGCTCCTGGCTCCTGGCTTCAGATCAGCTCAGCTCAGGCTGTTGTAGCCACTTGGGGAGTGAGTCAGCAGCTGCAAGATCTTTCTCTCTGTAAATGTGCCTTTCCAATGTAAATAAACAAATCTTCAAAAATTTTTTTTTTACTTATTTGAAAGGCAGTGTGATAGAGGGGGAGAAACACACAGAAAGAGATCTTCCATTTGCTGGTTCACTCCCCAAACGGCTCTGACAGCCAGGTCTGGAGCAGTCCAAAGCCAGGAGCCCTCTTAGTCTCATGTTGTCAGAGATCCAAGCACGTGGGTCATCTGCTGCTGCTTTCCTAGCACATTAGCAGGAAGCTGAGGTGGATGGAAAGTGGACCAGCTAGCACCCAAACCATTACCTCCATATGCAATGTCAGCATCACAAGCAGTTTAACGCGCTGTGCCACAATGCAACATGTACTTAGGACCTTAAAAAAAACAGATGCTCTTGCCCACATCCTTTATTTAACACCAGGAGAAAACATGTTCAGATTTAATGAAGCTTTTTTTTTTTGGAGAAGCAGAAAGACCAAGACAGAGAATGCACTTTGGAAAATCAATTGAATAACTTTAAAAACCAACTGGCAATATATTTGCTTACTACCAAAAACTCCAGCACCTGGGTTAAAATATATCTAAATTTAGTAATATTACTTTCTCAAACCATATCAGCAAATTAAACGGATAGCTATTTAAAAAGGTATTTATACTTTAAATATGTGTTGTGTTCAGAAAAGGAAACCATCAAATTACTATTTGCTATCACTCAGCACCAGCAGCCTTTCTCAGCTATCTCTAAAAACACATCCTTCTTTTCCATTTTCACAGTAGTGTGAGACAGGCTAATGTTAAAATCACACAAGATCGGGCCCGGCGTGGTGGCGTAACAGCTGGGGTCCTTGACTACATGTGCTGGGATGCCATGTGGGCACTAGTTCTAATCCCAGCAGCCCTGCTTCCCATCCAGCTCCCTGCTTGTGGCCTGGGAAAGCAGTCAAGAACAGCCCAAGCCCTTGGGACCCTCCACCCATGTGGGACATCCCAAGGAAGCTCCTGGCTCGCTGCTTTGGACAGCACAGCTTTGGCCAATGGGGCCACTTGGAGAGTGAATCAACGGACGGAAGATCTTCCTCTCTGTCTCTCTTCCCTCTGTATAGCTGACGTTTTCCAATAAAAATAAATAAATATTTTTAAAAAAATCACACAAGATCATGTTAAAATATACAATAATACATTTAACACTCTGCAAAAATAGTTACCTAAGTAAAACCTATACACTGAAGAATACTCCAGAATAAATCCTTACATTTTGTAAGCAGGCCATCTCTGCATTCAATGCTGCCCTGCTCTGCTTAGCTTTGATTTTAATTTCACCAATCTGTTCTGAAAGTCCTAAAGATTCACCTGTGGAATCTTTTCTAATATGCTTGTTTCCCACCTTTTTTTACTTACTTTACTTTAAGCACTTTTTTCTCCTATTTTTACATTTATATTTATTTTTATTGGAAAGGAAGATCTACAAAGAAAAGAAGACACAAGGATCCTCCATCCACTGGTTCACTCCCCAAGCAGCTGTAACAGCCAGAGCTGAGCTCATCTGAGGTCAGGAGCCAGGAGCTTCTTCTGGGTATCCCAGATGGGTGCAGGGTTTCAAGACTTTGGGCCACAGTCCACTGCTTTCCCAGGCTACAAGCAGAGAGAACGGTGAGAAATGGAGCAGTCGGAACACAAACCAGCACCCATATGGGAGTCTGGCGCTTGAAGGGAGATTAGCCAATCGAGCCATTGTGCAGGGCCCCTTTTAGCACTTCCTACAGCATCCTCTGTGAAACCATTTACCCTTTATTTAGCCTTAGCAAAGAAACAGCACAAATTGATTTTTTAAAACCTTTTTTAAAAATAGCATCATCTCTCAACATTCTAAACAGTAACTGGCTTTCCATCACATGTACTGCTACTGTTTTTCTTTACATTCTCCTAGAATCTGAAAACATGGCAGGTTTTCACCAAACACCTCTGTTAACAGCTAATAAAACAAAATCGGCAGATACCTTTGGTAAATCCATAAAGCTTGGCCGAGCAGTTGAAATAAGCCCAAGTGTTTTTAAAGAACAATTCACAAGTTGTGATAATATATCACAAGCTGCTTCAGCTGACTCTTTGCTGCTGTCCACCTTAGAAAAGAAAACAACTTTCACTCTCACACATATTTGCAACTTTGTGCTTAGCTCTACAAAAGCAACAAACACATTTGTTAGTCTACTGCACTGTAATGTAAAGAACATTCTTTTAATCTATAAATTCAGCCACTTCTGAGTCTCCTGAAAAACAAGCGTAATTGTAAAAGCAGCTTCCATTGTAACACATATATTTAATCTTGAGATAACTTTTAAGTTGATTTATTCAAAACTGACTACATAATTCATGGACTAATTAGTTTTTAGTATTTGAAAAATAATTCTGCCTATCTGGTAGATTAATAACACACGTAAACACAATGTTTACGGTGCACATTTCAAGGCACTAGGAACTGAATAACTGACTACTCAGACTGTTCAGATGGATCACAACACGGTACCCATCATTAATTAGCTTTCAATGGAAAGACAAACATACAGTAAAATGAAGGTGGACAGCCAGTAAAGCATGAAAATGTGAAACAAGAAGTAGTTGCTCTCACACATTCTCCTGCCTGGACATCCCCAGAGAGACAGGTGATAGGACCAAAAACTCCCTCCAGGAGTTTCTAATACATTAGTTGTTCCCAAAGCCCAAAAGCATTGCAAACAAAACATTCAAAAGTAATATCAATTATGTGTAGATTCATATATAATACTTTATCCCACAGGGTTTCCAGTAGTAAAGCTAAGACTAACTTATATTACAATTTGAGGACTACAAGTTTCTTAACCCCTGGCAGCTCACCTAAGGCAGTTCCCAGAGCAGGAGCAGTAGCACCACCTGGATGCTTGTTAACATGTGCAAAATGTCGTATTTAGCCAAACCAACTCAGTCACAAATTTCCAAGGTGAGAACCAGCTGACTTTACAAGCCCTTTACGTGGTTGTGTGGCACAAAAGTTTGAGAACCACTATTCAGACATAACTAACTACATGCCTCTTTGGTCTACACTCTATGATAACATATATTTTCAGGCAAGCCCAGAGGTGGCTCTTTTCCGGTACATAAATCAGAAGTTATTTCTCCAGGAAGATAAACAACACCTAAACTGAGTAGTTTTAGGAGGATTATTCAAGCTGGGACAACTGAATTGTGTCACAAAACTATAAAAGAATAAAACTGACCTAGTCAATTTACTGGATGGAATTGGCTTTAAGATCTAGAGGAGTGTATTCTATTCTTTTATAGCATTTACATTAGAACAGTCAATACAACTCAGGAATGACTGAAACCAATGAGAAATTTCTTTCAATTTCTTCCCTAAATACCAAATGAAGTGTTCCTGAATGTCTGCTCTCTCCACCAGTACCTTATCCTTGCCCACATTTACGGTTAACTACCCACCGCATTTTCTAATTGCTATATTTGGCAAGTGCCTTTGTGCATTTTTCTGGGAGGGCTGTAGAATACCCAACCAATACAATACCCCTTGGATAGACAAGACTCAGCAAGTAATAATAACCTAAGAGGAAACGCCATACTTAGAGGGAAGACAAGCCTTTAGTTACGGGGAAAACTTCTACGTTAAGGCCCATTGCTTACAGGTCTAACTCAGGCAGCTTAACATCCCAAAATGCCACCCCACCTCATTTATCTCATCACTGCATGATTTTTCAATAGTGTCCCTTCCAGCAATGAAAACAAAAGACTTTCTCTTTTGATATTTTTCCAGGTATAATTCTCTCTATAATATATTCATCAAAATCTTCTGTATGAAGTTTCTTTGCTTTCTCTATATTCAAAACAAGCAAAAATCAGTCCTTGTTAGGTAGCTGTGGAAGTCAAATACTATCCAATCAAAATTTCCCTGATTTTTATTTACTACATATTCTTCTTTCCTCAAGTTGGTAATAAGTCACTGTTGTTAACAGCTGGTCAACAGTTTATGCTTATTCAATGTCTACCTTTGCTCTCTCAACTTTCTGATAATTACAGGTTAATAACGTAGCTCCAATAAACAACCACCCTTATTTGTGAGTGCTTCTAAGGAATCTAATAATTTTAAATTTTCAAGTATTTCCCCCTAAAAGACAAATATTTTAAAGATGTGAGATGTACTGGTTTATATCATGAGTCACTAAAAATGGTTTCTTTTCCAAAAGAAGGAGTTAAAGTATTACCTTGAAGCTGACATACTGTAGATGGTTCGAGTGTCTTTTAATAATCTGTTTGATCAGCTCTGGATGGGTGGCTTTCAAATAAGATGTGGCTGGCTGATTCAGTTCAAATTCAAAACATCTCCACAAGTCAGGCATGTGAAATACCTGGTTCCAGTTGCGGCAAACTTGCGAAGCATGAGCCCGATCAAGAAGAGGCAAATACTTAAACACATGGAGGATAATGTCCTGCAGGAGATTGCCCCAGTCACAGTTGGGAGAACGCTCACTTGTAGTCCTCAGTTTCTTGGAGTTCTCTGCAGGACCTTCCTCTGATGAATTAAGATTGCTATCTCTTCCTCGTTTCATCCTAGTCAGAAAAATGCATCATTTTTTAAATTATTACACATACTTTCAATATACTCAAAAAACCTCATCCATCTGTCAAAGAAATGTTTGTGTTGATGTAGGCAAACATAAATACTAAGAACTAGAATAAGAATTTAAGGATATTATCAAACCAAAATCTAATGAAAAATACCAACGGAGACCAACCAAAGTTGTACAAATGTCCTACAGTTTTAGCAGGTGTTTTCAAGAGGCAAAATCTATCACGGCTTTGAATCGAAACCAAGAATGTGCATCTCAACCACTAAGTAGTCAATTAACTAAAATGAATACAAGAGGGAACTAAAGGTGCTTGAGAGTCCTCTGAGGACATGTGCTGTAGTTCCTGAATCTCGGGAGAGGCTGTGAATTAAAGCAAGCTAGCAGAGCTTCCACACTCCCAACTGTGATGTGTGTCACTGCTGGACATTCTGACCCTCTATTCAAAAACACCAAAGCCATACCTGCCACCTGCCACGCATGCAGTGCTGACTGCCGCTGCTCATCTTCTAAGGCACTACTTACTGTCGCAATGTTTCTCTATTTCTGAATGACTTCTGTATTACCTTCATTTCACTTGTTTCTTTTCAAGAATCTTTTAATGATCTAATAACATTATGGTCAAATAAAATGGGATCTGGAAAAGGGTCCTACTTTTTATTGGCTACATAACTCAGAAAATTATTTGACTTTCCTGGGCTCTGGTTTATAAAAGGGGCATAAGATAAGCAGTTTTGGGACCAGGCCAACAGCTCAAATGCTAATTCTCCACTTGCAGGTGCCAGGATCCCAGGGGATCTGGAGTCTTGGCTGCTCTGCTTCCCATGCAGCTGCCTGCTGGTAGCCTGGAAGAGCACTCTGCCCACGTGGGAGACCCAGAAGAGGCTCCTGGCTGCTGGCTTCGGATCAGTTCAGCTCTGGCTGCTGCAGCAGTTTTGGGGGTGAGCCAGCACATGCAGGACTTCTGTCTCTCTTCTCTGTAAATCTGCCTTGCCAATAAAAATTAATTCCTAAAAAAAGAAGTTTCTGTAAAGAATTAAATATTAGGGTTTCTAAAAGATCAGTGAACTCTAACACAGAAAAGCAGTCCAGTTTTAAAGAGCAGAGCACAGTAAGAAGAAGTTTCTCCCAGAACACAGAGAATAAGCCTTTTCTTTTCATGGGGTGTGTGCTGGTGTGTACATATGGGGCGGAAAACAAGCTTGTATATGATAAATACAAACTAGAAACAGATTCCCCAAGTAACTATTCCTGTTAATTTGGGATTTTTTTTTTTTTTGGCACAACGCTTTTCCTATCTACGTTTCACACATTCTTGTTTAACATCAGTTAAACATCAGCATTATAGTAATTTTTTTAAAATCTTGATTTGTTACTTGGACAAGTATAGGTGGTTTTATAGTGAGGTAACTCTACATCCCTACTGGTACTCATATTCAGTTTAGAGCCCACAACACTTTGGTTTCCAGGAAGCAGTTCTGGCAGACAGTGGCATGGACCTAGCTTTGACTTCAAAGCCTACTGAAGGCTTTGTGGCCCACCTCTCTTATGGTATGTTAGTACATAAAAATGTCTAAATCCCCTGTGGGATAAAGGATGTTCATGTGATTGACTGCAAATCAGGTGTGTCTATATACTTTATGCACTCAGAAGTTAGCAAAACTTGTGGAGGAGCTCAAGGCTGTAGGGCAGAAGCAGGACAGCAGAGCCCAGAGGCCTGCATGTACAACAAACTGCCTATTCTTCATCGCTCTTTCTTATACTGCTGCCCATTCAAGTACGGGGAAAGGAAGGAAGAAAACAGCAACGAAGCTGACAACAAAAGGGTAGTTTCATGAAAGACAGCCTGCCTGAATTTTACAGACATTTTTCAAAGTTGACTCGACAAGCAGTAGTAATCTACAGTGTAATCTTTATTTAGATGTAGGCACTCATTTGAAAGACAGAGTGCGATGGAGAGTCAGATGAGAGATCTCAATCTGCTGGTTCACTCCCCACAGGACTGCAGGTTGGGGCAGGCTCGAGCCAGGGACCAAGAACCTTCTGCAGGTCCAGCCCACGCACCAAACAGATTGAAGTAACTGACCCATTATCTGCTGCTCCCCAGGCATACGAGCAAGCAGCTGGACTGCAAGCATTCCTTCCACACAGCACTTTGGCTCAGGACACAACACCTGACTGTGCTTTTAATATAAAAAAAAAAAACTAATAGTAATATAATAATGTCCTAGTGGAGGTACAGAGAACTCTGTCATGATGGCCCATTTTCATGCTTTACTTACTCTGAAGGCTCACTTTGGTTTTAGCCTATGCAATCTGGGTCAGGGAACAGAGTCTGCTATCTAGGTTTACACTTTTATCTTTTCTATCATAAACTGCTAATAATTTTGACAGAGGTTCAAAAAATACTAAAGCAGTTGTCTTAATTTTTACACATAAAATAACAAAGTGCTAATCACCTGTTCCCTGGAGAAATAATTTTTAAAAAACCCTCCTATAACAGGCTCCAGTTTCTCGCAAACGCACATGCCAGGAGGCAGAGCTGAGGGCTCTGGGTTGTTTCCAGGCTCCCAAGTGCAGCCCTAGTCCCGCCATGGCCACCACAGGCACTGGGACACATCGGCAGACCAAAACTCACTGCCTCTCTGCTTCTCAGAGTGATAAAATTTTCAAAAGCAAATGAGTAAGATTAACAGTCTTAGCTACACACTAATTTTGCTAATACTTGGTGGTTCTACCAATAGAAATCTCCTGTTTATCGTCCCATTTTGCAAGTACAGAGGGGAAAAGATGACAAACGTTTTTTTAAGTTCGCAACACTAAATGTGCATCTGCTGAAGCATATAAAAAGACCAGATGAGCACCAAGGCATTTTAAGCATTACTAGTTTATGAGTGATTGAAGAAAAAGTCTGGAAATCATTATCTTTTGTGACTGTAATGACATACTGCCACATGCTAAGCAATAGGCAATGACGTTAGGCCCCTCTACCTGCCTCATTTCAGAACAGAGGGACAAGCAGGCACCTAACAGAACCTTCAAATGGCAACTTTTTCCAAGCTGGCCTCATTTGTTCATACAAAAATTCATGCTGCTTCAAAAAAAAAAAAAAACAACTTCATTCAATGTTTACAAATGAAACTCTACTGTATAGAAAGTTAAACAATTTTTAAGCACCGGTCTACAAATTACATGCCCGCCTTTCTATCGCCTAGTTTGAGTCAACGTGAATGCACCCTCCCCATCTGAATCCAAAGTCTAAACTGAAGGATGAACATCAGTAACAGCTTCTACAGAACCTAAAGAATCTGTAAAACTCTGACCGTTTACTTTTATTCAAGTTTTCAGGGTTCCAAAAAATGCAGTGTTGACCACTACAGCTTTTGGTGAGAGGCTAATATCACCATTAGGTGCAAGAAAGCACAGGCACTGGTGAGCTAACTTGACATTCCTGAAAACTCTAGAAGGCGTAGTGAACTCAACCATCAATTACGAACAGCAGAGAACAGTGGCCGGGCATCCTTGCACGCACCCTTCTGTACAGCACTCATGCAGTTTCACTAGCAGTCTATTTGTATTTAGCTGTTTGGGCATCTCCGTCTGCACCAGAATCAAAATTAATATGTAATCTTTAACCAGAATACAATAAAACAAAAAGGAGAATATAGGGGCTAAAATGTGCCTACCGGTCCGATACAGACTCCTGGGAGACGATGACAGTATGTCAAGAATAACAAACTTCTTTTTTTTTTTTTTAGGGGAGGATTCTAGCAAGAGACAAGGGCCACCTTATTGGAACCATCAACAGCCAAACAGTCACCGCTCTCGCCAGCTTCCTTGGAGCTGCAGGCCCATCATTTCCTGGGCCGCTTCCCGATGCCCGGTTGCAACCCCAGGTAGCCAGCCCCGCACGCGGAGCCGAACGCGCGGCTACCCGGCCCAAGCGGACCAAGATTTCCACTGGACTACGCGGCGAGGGCGACCCCGCCCCGCGGCGCCACCTCCAAGGACGGGCTCTCCCTGACGTTTCCAGGCGCCCAGCTCTTGGCATGGGGGCGGGGTGCGGTTCTGACACCCTACTTTTTCTCCTTTCTCAAGCTGGCAGCAGAGCCCGGAGGCGCGCGAGCTCCCCGGTCCCGGCCACCACCCCCGTCCAGGGCCGCTGCCGCGCACGCACCACGCCTTGTTGACATGTTTTGAAGCAGGCACCGCGGGGAAACGCCCCCAAACCGGCTCCAAGGTCTGAGAGCCGCGCCCCGCGTGTCCTCGGCCCCCCGAGAGGAGCTGTCACCCGGCGCCCCCGGCCCTGCGCCCCCCGGCCCGCCCTCAGCCGCCCCGCCGACCCTCCCGGCCCCGCCGAGGCAGCGGGGGCTCCGGCTCCGCCCCTCCGCCGTTACCTGCTGCCGGGGGGCGGCTTGCCCCACACACCACCCCGGACTCCGGGGACGGCGGCGGTGGGTCCCGCGGCTCTCACATGAGGCCCCCGGGGACCCCCGCTTCGCGCTCCTGCGCCCGCGGCCCCCCGCGCTCCGCCCGCATCCGAGGCGCTGGTCCCCCGGCGGACGCCAACGCGGCTCCACCTTCGCGTGTCCGGCCACCCGACGAGACGCCTTCCCTCTCAGCCCTGCGCTGTCGGCGCCTCAGTCCCGGGGCTGCCAGACGACTCCCTGCCAGCGGACCGCGGCCACCACGCAGTTGCCCAGCTCCTCCGTCCAGACACCGAGTCCAAGATGGCGCCCGGAGCTCGCGGGCGCGCGCCTTCGCCGGCGCGTCTCCTCCCGCGGGGGGCGGGGCGAGTCCCGCGGCGCGGCCTGGCGGGAGCGCGCCGCGCGGCCGGCAGCCTCCAGGCTCTGGAAGAGGCGTTGTCGTCTGGAGACGTTGTGGTGGAGACGTGACTCCTGCTGAAAGGCCAATGTTTTGTTTGGGAGCTGAGCATGGGCAGGCGGCAGCTAACTGGACGGCGAAGCGACGAGCTGAGGTTCGGAGTGAGGAGGTGGAGCGGCCGAAAGCGGGAGGGCGAGTCCCCGGAGCCCGCGGCGCTCCCGGTCGGCCCCAGCGGGCCCAGCAAGGCTCCTCCGCTGCCGGCGACAGCGACACACCTCTGCACCTGCGGGATGCAGTAGGGAACTCCCCGGGCTGGAGGCACAGCCAGCGCGCAGCTGTGGAACAAGCTGGTGGCAGAAGGCTTTTGGAAACCAAATCGCCCCAATGTGTAGGTGCTGTCCAGATCACTTGTTTACAAAGCTAGAACGTTTGCATGCGGCGAGGTCTTCTTAGGAACAAAACCGTCATTTAAACCAGCCCCGGTTCCTGCCTCCCTCCCCCTAAAAAGCCATTAGAGAAACCAAACAATTTTCCACCCCGAGATGTGTTCCATCTTTCTGGCTTCCGTGCTGGAGATTAGAAGAGACTGATGTCTGAGACCCCTTCATTCTCCCCGTTCCTGAAAAGCCGTAGGTAAGATGGTATGAAGATGCAATGTTAGGAAATATCAGTGCTTTTTCTTTTTAAAAGTCTAGCTATCAATCAGATCATGAAATTAGAGAAAGAACCTCCAGCCCCCGATAACGTACCTTCCCACAATGTCTTAGGTCTCTCAACGACTGAATAATGAGGGACCATAGGACGTTCTAAGAAAAGTAACGATGCTTATTACAGGTCAGAAAACCAGTCGCATACAAGAAAGACAAGCCCGTCTACGTAAAGGAGGGTAAAGAGTGACTGGGGCAGGTGCTGCGGTGTCACAGGTTAAGCTACCACCTGCAGTGCTTGCATGAACACTGCCTCCCCCTTCTGCTCCAGCTTCATCCTAAAGGCCTGGGAAGCACAGGAAAGGACCGCCCCAGGGTTTGGACCCCCTGCCACAGCTGTGGGGGGTCAAAAAGAAACTCCTGGCTTCTTCCTGGCCTAGCCTGCTCCGTAGTTACAGCTCTCTGGGGAGTAGATCAAATAAATAAATCTCTCCTTTTCAGTTTGAAAGAGTATGATCAACAAAACAGCTAAGTAAGCAAACATTATTAAAATAATTACATCACATTAATAGTTTACCATTTATAATCATAGCCCCTTTATGTTTACCCATCACAATCCTAAAAGACACAAGGCACATTTTACCTACTGAATGTCTCCTCTTACCTGTTATTCAAGGATTTTTATTTTTGCCTTTTTGTTTAGAAGAGGTGCCTGCGTCGTGGTGTAGAGATTGAGCTGCAGCTCGGGATGCCCACATCCCATATTAGAGTTTAGGGTTGAGTCCTGGCTGCTCAGATTCTGATCCAGCTCCCAGCAAGTGTGCCTGGGAGACAACAGGTGATGCCTCAAGCTCTTGGGCCCCTCCCACCCTCTTGGGAAGCCCTGCTGGAGTTCTGGGCTCCTGGACTCTGCCTGGCCCTAGGCTAGCTCAGGCCATTTGGAGAACAAACCAGTGGACCAGAGATCTTCCTTGCTTCTTTGCAAGTAGATGAAAATAAATTGTAAGCCCACCGCCAACTAAATTGTATCAAAAACAATAGAAATTATTTTTTTAAAAAAGTTGATGTGCCACTTTGCCAAAAAAAAAAAAAAACGAATTGTAAAAAGAAACTTATTTTCCTGTCTGTCAATACTAATTGCCACTTACCAATTATGTAAATATCACTCAGGATCTAAGGGTGGCATGACAGCCAATTACTGCAATGCAAAAGATATCTTAGTTTAGAACCTGTTCAAAGCAGCCAGTGGCTGTGATAATAAAGAGCAGGCCAACAATCAGTCAGCTTAGTTCTGCTCTTGCGTTCTTCCTAGAGTATTTCCTGCAAGGGCGAACCACGCCCCCCACCTCCCACCTTCAGCTCTCAGGATCAGCATAGATGAAGACCAGGTTGTGATTTCTTAAAACACTAACTTGCAATTTTTTTTTCAACAGCATTCACAAGTCTTTGAAGTCCTGTTGCAGCATTTTGTAGAATGCTCTTCAGCTGGGGGCTGGTCTCGCGTTCTTCACATGACTGGACTTGGATTATTGATATTTGGGAGGAAACCACAAAGAGGTATGAAGTCCGATTCTCATGATAGCATAGCAAGGGTACCAGTGTGGTACTATTTAGAAGGAAGTGACTAGGTACAGTCAGTGCTGACGGGTTAGGGCGTTAAACTCCATCGTTTTAATGGGGAGAATGTTTACGCATGTTATTGGGTAGATTTGGTAGAGCTGCCTCTATATACCCTGATTTAATATTGCATTGTCTATTTTTCTGTCTCTATAGCTTCCTCTTGTCTGTCTTCCAAGTCACTGTATCTCTCTTAAGCTCTGTCTGTGCTAAGCAAATTTTTGCTTGATTTTTACTTATGAACTGTTTTCCTGATCTGTGTACCTTTTGTTTTCAGTAAATTTTTGTTTATGATTTTATTTGAAAGGCAGAGACACAGAGAGCACCCCAAGTAAAAAAAAAAATGAAAAGCCTATGTAAAATCAACGCATTTACAAATTTCAAAACTGGCATGAACTAGAGCATTTGAGAGCATTGTAAACATAGCAACACCCATTCCTTCAGAAGTAACTAAGGGCAAATGGAACTATGATTGAGCCCCGCAAAAATCTTTTCTGATACGTTGAGAAAATAGTAAAGAGGTAATGTTGCCAAGCTTTTTTCATGAAGCTGGAAAAACTGCCATTCCCAAATCATATACTGAAATGTACAGCCCTGTTTCTTGTATGGAAATCAATGCAAATATTCTCAGCAATTGTGCTCAAAATCAAGACCAAAATCAACAATACAATGATATTCCTGATTCCCTAGCCATCTTTCCTTTTCTTTTCCCACAGCGTGTGTCCCCTCCTAACTTCTGGCAAGGTGTGTGTCTTGGTTTCTTTCTTTTTTTTGTTTTGAATCTTGAATTTTATGGTGCAATTGCATAGAGTCTGGGATTCTGCCACCCCAGATTTTCCACATATTGTTACAATAGTGTAGTCCTTCATAAGGAGTTATAATTCCATCAGTCTGTTATTTAAATGTGCTCTGACATTGCTGGTACAGACAATGTCAGACAGTCCAGCATCCCATTCTCTGGATATGTTCAACAGTTTCAGTGGGAGTCCATCTTAGATTTGGAAGTAGGGATACGTATTGCAATATCTTCACATCTGGATATGGTAGTCTCTGTTATTCTATACATTCCCTTAAATGAGAAGCCATGAAATAAGGTCAGCAACAGGTATGAAGCTAATTTTCTCTCTGCTCAGCTAGAGTAGACACATCATGAAAGAATGACCCTGGTTCACAGCTCCTAGGCTCTATAGCAGTGCTCAGCTCAGTACATGTTCTTGGAAGAGCGCAGGGACACAGCAAGTCAGCGTTTATGTTTGCATGATGACATGGTATGGTGACCCAGACTTCAGGCACACATGACTAGTACTGTCACAAGGCAGCTAAGTTTTGCAGGGGAGCAGAGCAATGTATGAGGTGAAGCAGAAGGTGATGGGAGGACTCAGACACAAGGTCATGTGTATGTCGGTCAGAGGATCCTTTATCACACACGGAAGCCTGTCTGGTCTTACAGGTCATGTAAAGAAGTGCAGATTGACTCCCCGAACACTGGAACCCTGGGGAAAGACACTTGCACGTATTTCGCTCTTCCTCCTCCTCTTCCTCTTTCCTTTCTAAAGGGTGTGTGGTAGCTGAAGAGGGGGAGAGAAACAAGGTCTTGGTAATAATACCCACCAGGGAAAGTAGAAGAACTGTGTGCAACTATGGATAGAGAAAATTCAGGGCATAACATATGCACTGTATATAAAAAGTTCATGGGAAATGGAATTAAAAGCTAAGTTAATTTTCTGCAAAAATATTGAAATCCATGCCTATGAGGGACTTTCACAAAATTCAAGAAAATCCACATTATGGTGAAACTATACATGTATTTTAACTCTTGCAGCAAAAATAAACCTATATCTTTATTCCTCTTTTCCATGAGCCTTTAGAAGTACACATGTATGCCAGTGGTAGAGTAAATTGGAACGGAGGAAAAGAAAACAGAACAGCATAGAGTTAGGGGAAGGTTATGAACTGTTTGTCAATTTTGAAAAAAAAAAAAAACTTGTTACAGAGACTGGCTGAGAAAGAGAAGCAGGCAGTCTATCTGAGTTAGCAAGAAAAGCTCAAGGGCAGGAGTTGGCAGGGGCACAGAAGAGTGATTTGAAGGTCATTGCAGGATCACCGCACATGTGCATCTCCTGCGCCAGCAGAATAGCAAGGAATGGACCTGCCGTGCAGGACAGGGCATTTTCTCCCCTGAGAATTTGGAATTAAGATTAGAAGAAAAACAGTCCCTGCCTTGCTTGCTTGAACTTGTAACAAACACAGGAGCTATAGCTGATCGTTTTCTTTTTCAAAAATTTTCTTTGTTTCCTTTTTTCTATTTTGGAAGGCAGATACACAGAGGGATAGAATCTTTTCTCCTCAAATGCCCACAATAGTCAGTGCCGGGCCAGGCTGGAGTCAGGTGCCTAAAATTCAATCCAGGTCTCCCGCACAGGCGAAGGAAACCCAAGCACTTGAGCTATTGCCTGACATTAGCAGGAAACGGGCACAGGTGATGAGGCTGGGACTCAGCCCAGCTCTCTGATACCGATGTCGGTGATCCAAGAGGCATCTTAACCACTGGGCCAAATTCTCACCCCTACTGGTGATCGATTTTTACCAAGTTTCTGTGCAGTGACGAAGAAGAGAATGCTGATGCTGGAGTGACCCTAAAGGGAAAATGGAGCCGGAGTCACCAGCTCTTGCTCTGCTCTGTTCTCAAGGCCTGGAGGCAGTTCAGCCATTGCAAGTTTGTTTCTTGTTTTCTAACATGATTTTCAGTTTGCTTTCTTTTGCTTGCAACCAGAACTCATTAGCAGTACAGACTTGACCTGGAAAGCCTGCTCCTTGGACCTCACGTATTTTTTGTTTTGTTTTGTTTTTGCTGCTGTTTTTGTTTACAGTGAAAGGTGACAGTGGAATTTGGTCTCTGTGTCATGAGCCTGGGAGTGGGGGTGGGCGTGGCATCTTCTCCCCAGCGCTTATCCACAACAGGTGGTTCTGCCAAGTGCTTCCGGGGCGGCGGCTGCCAACAGCCACGTCTAGGTGGGGTCTCAGAAAAAGGCCTGGATGGGACGGCCCCTTGTTTAGAAAGATGTCTTGTTCAAGTTAACAATTCAGTCACAGATACTGCTGTGAGAAAAGTGGCAAATAGATCTGCCAAGAGCAGTGAGTCCAGGGAGGAGTGGAGCTTTTCACACCACCAAGTCATTGCTTGGGACCCTGCAAAGGGCAGGCCTTACGGGGCCTTACAGGCGATGCGACCCACCTGTGTTTTCCTAGTCTCAGACCTCTGTTTTCCCAACCCCTCTCCTGAAGCTCTCGGATCCTCACAATGCTGTTTCACCACCGAAGAGGACCTGAGCTCACCTCACCTCCACCTCATGTCTTGCAAATCTGAGAGCTTTTGGTCTCCACTGCTTTGACTATGCTGCCTCACAGCAGGAAGAGCGAGGTGAGATCTCAATCATGGCTTAGATTTTGAACCTGGTTTTACCATTTACTAGATAAGCAAGTTTGGGCAAATTACTTCAGTTTGCTCTTTAATCTTTTCTCCTACAAATGGGAGTAACTATACTATCTGCCACACGGAGTTGGAAGAATTAAACATGTTAACATACACATAAAAAATAGGTCAGCAGTGCAAGCAGCAATGACCAGCAAAAATGAGCTACATCGCTGCTAGTACCATAGGCTGAAGCTCCACAAGTGAGAACTAATCTGCTTGTTTCAATGCTGGGTCTGCCCAGCAGCAACAGCTGTGATGTTTTCTTTCTTCTTGGCCTGAGCAGCAGGAACACAGCATCAAAGGGACATGACATGCTATGCAAAAAAAAACAAAAACAAAAACAAAAAACAACAACAACAACAAAAAAAAAAAAAACCCCAAAAAAACACTCTTCTTACCAGGACTTTGGCTCTGTCCCTTGAAAAAACAATAAAACCTAGGTAAGCACTAAGACACACGACTTGCTTTGTGGGCTGCACATGCATGACAAGGGACATATTCTCATTCCAAGTGGCTCTCAGCCTTGGAGACAGACAAAGTTTGTTACATTTAAATCACCCCTACTAGTGTCCACCCCAAGAGGGTGGGCTCCCATTCACACTACCATCATAACATAGCAGCCTTGAATGGGGTCAGCTACCAGCCTGTACTAGGATAGCTCCACCGATACAGCCATTGCCTGCCTAAGGGTGTTTGTCCCAATGCTCAATGAGGCGTTGATTAGAATATTCTTTTGTAGATGTGAGTGTAACAGTGCATTAGTTATTTTTACTCATGACTTTTCACAAAATATATTTACTTGTTTATTTGAGAGGCAAAAATAGAAAAAGTCAGAGTCTGTTTCTGTTCCCAGATGCCTACAAGGGCAGGGGCTGGGTCAGCCAGAGCTGGGGCCCACAGACACAGGTCCAGTTTCTCCTGTGTCTGGTAGGAACTCAATGCCTTGGGCTGGCATCTGTTGCTTCCCAGGCTGCACACCAACAGGAAGCTGGAATATGAGCTGAGCCTCAAACACAGGCACTGTGACATATGATGCAGTCATCCCAAGTGACGCCTAAACAGTAAGCTCAGACACCTAGCCCAAGTATGACACTGTTTAAACATGATGTGGCATTACAGAATTTTATTTGAAAGGCAGAGTTACAGTGAGAGGGAGTTGCAGAGACGTTTTCCATCTGCTGTTTCACTCTCCAACTGGCCAGAACGGCCAGAGCTGAGCTGAGTTGACGTGAGGAATTAGGGGCTGCTGCTTTGAGCTACGTGGGTATTTGGCCATTCTCTGCTGCTTTTCCAGAACCAGAGGCATAGTCTACTATGGCACAACCTTGAGTCCTATTTCTTAAATGTTAATGTGATATTGATAGAACAGATTCACTGTTAGCCCATGGATACACTTCTAAGAGTACAATGACTTCCTTGTCTCCATCTGTCATTCTTTTAGTGTTTAATTTATATTGCAGTGTTGTCAAAGGCTCTAGTCATGGTTTTGCCTTTAGAGTAAATGGTGTTAGGCTACACTCTGTTCCGAGCATGCTGCATTTATTCCTGATCAGCATGCAGATTCGAGACCTCAGCTCCTGCTCAGCAGTTCCATTCAAGTCACCTAGAATTAAATCCCAAGACCAAACCGCTCTTCTGTTGTCTGTGTCTCAAATGTGCAAACATGCTGAACAACAGAGATAGGCTGTGTTGTGATCAGACCCCAAGCTGTGCCCAGACGGGCTTTCTGCACATGCACAAGCACACACACACACACACACACACACACACACACACACAGGGATTGATAAAGGTCTGGAGAGCTTTGGCTTCAAGTGGAATCGTTCCTTCCAGGTGGTCACTTCCATAGGGCTGTTTTGTTAGTCCCACTGACATCATCTTCTGCAGTCCCATCAGTTTCCTTTTTTCCTGTTCACTCCCCGTGAGAACATTGAGGAACAGCACATCATACACGTTTGCAGCATCATGAGTCCTGCCACTCCTTCCACCTGGCTAATAACTCCTTGACACAAAGAATACTCAGTGCTGACTTCTCATTGTCAGTTCTTTCTTGCCTAGTTTGGCAGAGGCAGTGAGACCGGGCTTCTCTATGCTGTGCACCGGTTGTGGTTTGTGTCTGGTTTGTGCAGTGGTACACCGTATTGGAACCATTTTTTCCACTAAGGCCCTGGGGAGTGTCTGGACCCTCTCCCTTCTGGACCTTTGTGTAAGGCCTCTCAGTGAGGCAATGAGTTTCCTAACACTGTACACACTAGGAAGACATTTATTCTCTTTTGAGGAACTTAGCGTTCTGATAGTCAATGCCATACTCACATAAATCAAAGCTTTCAATATGACACTACCCTCACACATCATCAGACACTGAGTCATTCGCTTCAACTTCCATAGCTGAGAAAAAGTAGTGAGTGTTTTTTGGGGGAAAAGTGGGCAAGGTCTTGGGAGGCACATCGGTGTTCCTTGTTCTTCAGTATGAAGCACTGACTGGGGGCTGGCACTGTACTGTAGTGGGTAAAGCCACTGCCTGCCAGACCAGCATCCCATATGGGTCTGGGTTCATGTCCTGGCTGCTCTATTGACAGTCCTCCTTGCTAATGGGTTGAAAAGCAGCAGAGGGCAGCTTAAGTGCTTGGGCCCTGCCTCCTTGGGGGAGACCTGGAAGTTCTTGCATCACGGCTTCAGGTTGGCTCAGCTCTGCCCTTTACATCCACCTCGGGAGTTAGGAGCAGGTAGAAGTGCACCCTTTTTCTATTAATCATTCAAAACAAACAAGTTAATCAGAAAAGCACTGATTGGAGTTTGTCCCCTCCTCCAAAGCAGCCAGTGCTTCCCTTGACAAGTTTCAAAGCATATGCTCAAGTCTGGCCTGGGATCCAAGCTTAGGCAAAAACCCACTTCTGCCCAAGCATTCTCTGTGACCTTCTTACTGGTTTAGCTCAGGTAGAATTTGCGGGGTCCTAACTGAATGCTCCTGCTGATTCATCACAATTTGCACATGTGTGCAATCTCCATCCTGTTCAAAACAGAGAATATTTTAGCAACTGCCTCTCCCTCCAGCACCCTTCCAATCAGGCCCTCTCTAAGACAACCACTGTTCTCAATTCTGTCACCAATGACTGTGGTTGGAAACGGCCATCTTCAGACTGGGGCGCTCGTGGGCTCGCACAGCATATGCCTTTTTTTTTTTTTTTTTTGCATAGCATTTTGTCTGTGAGATGGATCCAGGTGACATGCAGCTCAGCTTCAGCTAAACCCATCTAGTTGTCATTCTACCACAAATGCTATGTTGTTGCTGTTTTCCCTTGCTGTTCAGCTATCTGGGGCTCCATCTTTATTATTTTTTTTTCCCCTCTTGAATCCTAGCTGAAAATAGATGAGAAAAAAATAACCAATGTGGGGGGGAAGTTAGAGAGATCACTGGAGTTTTATAGAACAGTTCCTTGGCACAAATGAGTAGTCTTTAAAAAGTTCATGGAAAACATTACTTTTCCCTTAACTTTTTAAAGTACCCTTGAGTCTTCCACCAAGGTTGATCTGAGCCAGGCCTCCTCCATGGCCTTTTGCCTCCCCAGCTCCATTTTTCCCTTTGGAGTTACTCCAGCTGTCTTTGTTAATCTGCTTAGGATTGGATGGTACAATTCTTTCAAGATTCTGACAAGAGCCTTGACCAGCTCCTGCTAACACAGGGATAGTTTCCTGTTATCATCCTCAGTACACTTATCAGCATGTTTAAAAAAAAAAACTTTAAAAAGATATCCTAGGCCAGCACTATTCATTGGAAGTACATGCAAGCCACAAATGCAATGTAGAATGTTCTAGAAGCCACACTGTAAAATGAAGAGAAACAGGTAAAACTCATAACTTTAATAGTATATTAAAAATACTATCTCTGTGTGTAGTCAATAAAATATGGTAGAAATATTATTCTTTTTCTCTGTGGGACTCAGTTGCTTCATGTTTAAGTGAACAATACTTGGTGGCTTAGAACACAAACATCCCTTATTGTGTGGAGATCAGCAATCTATAATGGGCTGACTCCAGGGGCTGGCGGACCCAAATTACTGCTAAAGGCTCTTGGGGCAGAACCTGTAATCTTGATTTTTCTGGTTTCTGGAGGCTAGCTGGCTGTTTCCTCTATCTCCAAAGTTAGCAAGGATAGTCTTCAGGCCTACAGCTCTGGCCTTTGCTCGTGTCATTTTATCTTCTCTGGTTCTGACCCTCTCAATGCCTCCTTTACTGGATTAGGACACATATTATGTTGGGCTCAGTAGATTAATCCAGTATAATCTCCCTGTCTCAAAGTCTCATTTCTTACTACTTTTGCAATGTCCCTTTTGCCACATATGCCACATCCCGAGCATGGGAAGATGTGTTATTCCTGCCTCCAGACACCCAGGCATTAGTCCAGTGCTTGGCCACTAAGCACTCTCAATAAGGTGATTGTGGCTCTGAATAACATTTACACAGTTCCATGTGTGTGTGTGTTCTGTGACTGTATCATGCCCAAGCACCCAGCCTGGCACATGACAGCATGTTTATTCCTTAGCCCATGTGGTTCACTCATCAAACACCCTCCATAGTTCCCAAGCCACAAGGGACGGAGTTCCACCCTAGGTAGGGTGGAACATTAAGTGTGGACCTGGAGTGAATATTTCAATATTGACTGACAGAATGAAGCAAAAGAGCTAGTTTTGCTTCTGAGAAACCCATGCCCTCATTGGAGTGTTCAGACTTTTGCTTCTTAAAAATTACTCTTCTTCAAGGGTCTTCCTGCACTTTCCTTGTTCCTCTCCTTGGTTCCTCTTTTTTGGCCTAAAGCACTTTTCTAAAGACTTTTGCATTTGATTTCAATTTAGTATCATTTCTAAGAAAATGACACTGTAGTTACAAGTAGCTGATTTAAGGTTAAACGGGAAAAAAGGAGATAGAACTCTTCCGGTTTCAATGCCTGTGCTTTTCACCTGCTCTTGGTGGTTTATAGGAAAATGCAACATTGCAGCATTCTGCCACTGTCAGAAACAAGTGTCTGATTATAGATCGAGGATGGTGACAGCAAGGGCAGGAAGAGACTTTCAGAAAAATCTGAAAAAGGCAAACCAGTATCTATTGTGAACAAGAAGTGAATTAAGGCACTACATATATGTCGTATCTAATAAGCTTATTGACAGAATAAGGTTTTAGGGTCAATCTAGTCAGAAAATTGAGCAAAATGGCATTTCCTAGGAAAAAGTTTCTTTCCAGGAAGTCATTGACATCCAGTATTGTGACTCTTTCCATTTTCTGTTCCACAGAACACGTGGATGACAGTCTCGTGTGCAAGATGCGTGGGCCGAATGCCTGCCACAGCCATCTCTCTTTCTGCGTTTTGTTATAATTTACTCCTCTTTTCTGGTTTAAGATGCTAGACAAAGTGTGATTACAAGTGACTCTGTCATAATGGAGAAGTAAAGGTGTGTGCACCATAGAGCTTTGCCGTTTTATTCCTCTTGTTAACTAGAATATTAACTTGAGAAGGCTCATGCTAGCCAAGCCATCTCAATTACTTCCTGTTTTCCTTCTTTTCCATTACAGTTTATAAACTGGAGCGGATTTATCTGCCAGCACAGTTAATGCATCCAAGATGATATTGCTTACTCACTGTGCATGAAGTCTTGCATTTGGATGCCACTCTGCAGGCTGGGTTCACTGCTGTGGCCAGTTGCTTTCAACCCAATGTGTGAGCCTCTCTTCCGTCTTCTCAGCAGTAAATGGTGGAACAGCTTTAGTCTCTGTCTCAATTTTTTGTTTTCTGGGAACATTTTAAAGCAACCTGGAGCTAGTATTGTCAGACTTTTTTTTAATCCTACTTCAGATTTTTCTACTTATTCACTTTTGTTTGTCTAAAGCACACTTTTTGCCTTTTTCTGTATCTGATATTAAAATGCTCTAAAATACTTTTTATTGGGAAGGCATATATACAGAGACGAGGAGACAGAGTAAGATCTTCCTTCTGATGAGTCACTCCTCAGGTGGCTGCAATGGCTGGAGCTGAGCCAATCCGAACCCAGGAGCCAGGAGCTGTTCCAGGTCTCCCATGCGGGTGCAGGATCCCAAGGCTTTGGGCCGTCATTGACTGCCTTCCCAGGCCACAAGCAGGGAGCTGGATGGGAAGTGGGGCAGCCAGTATTAGAACCAGTACCCATATGGGATCCCGGCGCTTTCAAGGTGAGGACTTCAGCCCCTAGGCTCCTGCGCCAGGTCTGGAATATTCCTTAGTTTACAAAATGCAGCTCAAATGGCCTCTCAATTACTCCTTTCCAACAATAAAAACAAAATCAGTCAAGTTTTTTCATAAGGTGTTACACATCTGGATATTTTTATGGAATCATAATGTTTTATGAAATAGTTAACTGTGCTCAAATCTGATCTCCGAGACAAAAACTGTTTTAAACTTTACTGAAACAGTAAACACAATGTCATTAAACTTGAGATTGGTTTCAAAACTGACAGAATAATTTCAGTGATTTCCAACAGTGGGAAATTAAAATAAAATGGAGCAAAACTTATGTATAAAATACGACTTATGATGAACTGAATAACAATAATTTGCCAATTTCATGCTCAAATGGAGAAAACAGAAAAAAATCTACCCCTGCAAAAAAAAAATCTAACTAAACAACTCAAGTCAAATGTAACAGATTAGTGATTTTACTGTTGTAGAAAATCACTGCGGTTGGTGTCGTAGAACAGTAACTTAAGCCTCGCCTTTAGCACCAGCATCCATATGGGCACCGGTTTGTGTCCTGGCCGCTCCACTGATGTTCCAGCACCCTGCTACAGCCTGGAAAACAGTGGAGGATGGCCAGGGGTTTGGGTTTCTGCCCTTATGTGCAAAACCTGAAGGAAACTCCTGGCTCTTGGCTTTAGATCTGTTTAGCTCCGTTATTGTGGTCATTTAAGGAGTGAACTAGATGATGGAAGACCTCTTTCTGTCTCTCCTCTCTGTAACTTGGCCTTTCAAATAAAATTTCTTTAAAAATCTTTAAAAAATGCTCAGAGACCTGTTGGTTTAGTAGAAACTGCTAAACTGATTACTTTCTAAAATATTTTCTTCTGCGTGTGGTGTAAGTTTACGAATGTTAAGGTATAGTCCGATCTACTTGAGTTTAAGATTCTAACACTATACTTTATTATTACTCTTATTTTCCTGAGAAGAACTGATTGTGCTGTGTTGGTAAATAAATAATTTTACAAGGCAAACTGGATATATTTTAGATTTTAGAAGTGTTTAAACATTGTTCTCAAACAACATCTTACACAAGTGTCAGACTTTATCACTGTATAAAAATGTACAGTGGTTTTATTGACATGTACATTCCAATATGTTTATAGCTGCAAGATAATGAGGCACACTCAGTATTGCACTTCATTAAAATTTCAGGCTCAAACTTAACCTAGAAGTTTAAATGAAACTGCATTGTAATTTAGTAATTCTTATACAGGACAAACATTGATATCTCTATATACAGTGTGATACTTATTACATTTATATGCTGTCCTAACACAATTTTTTTTTTAAATAACAGTCTAGGAAATAAACCAGAATATTCCTCTTTCTTTTTAAATCCCTACCCGTGATGCAATTGTACAGGATTACAAAAAGGCAGTATACAATAAACAATGATTATTATTATTATTTTTGTTTTTGCTTAAAAGCCAGCATCATTCTTAGTCCATGGGCAAGGCGATTCTTTTTTTTTTTAAATCAATTATCTATGAATGTCCAATGCTTCACAGGCCAGTGACGGTAATGGCCACATGCAAACACCTCACAAGTTTGATGTCTTGGTTCAAAAGAAGATAAACCAAAATAATGGGGAAACTGTCCACAGCAAGATTTATGTACATGGTATTTGGCATCCTTCTTGCGCTGTGAATGGTTCATCTTCATGGATGTACAAATGGTCCCGTCCTTATCCTGAGCAGAGTTCAAACTTCGCCGAGTCCTCTGGGGGAAGAAGGCAACTTGTCTCTGTCAACAAAGGATCTGAGTGTTCTAAAAAGTGTGGGCGTTTCTGCACACTCCACAGCCCAGAGCAAACTCCTCCCCAGTTGGTGGATGGACAACATGGAGTGGACATTCAGTCCCTTCTAACTGCTTGCCTTTGGGACCTAGAGCAGTGTTGAAGGAAGCAAAGGAATATAATTAAGAGTTTACATGCACACGTGAATCTCAAAGGTTATCCAAGAAGTAATATGACTATAGCTACCCAAATATAGAATTTTAGGACTTCAATTGTCCTTTAATTACACTAGCAAAAAATGTTAACTACAAAAAATTCAAGACAACAGATATGAAAACAGAGCAAGTAACTGGGTCCCTTACCTATCCCATCCTGCCTAGAGAGAACCACTGTATGTAACATATCTTTTTCTATTAACAAACAGACTTGCTGTAAATAAATGACTTATGTAAAAGGTATATCATTTTAAAGCAAATAGCAATGAACCAAAAAGGTCATAAAAATCCTTCAATTTAGTCTAGTTAAAAATTATTCCAGATGCAAATGCTTTCCCATAAGTGAAAACAAATGTAAATATAAAATCATTATCCTATCTTTGTTGAAGAAAAAGGAAAAATTGGTAAAATGACAAGACTGACTATTAGCATTTAAAAAAAAAAGTTCTCCGGGGGAAGGCATTTGGTCCAGCAATAAAGGTGTTTCCTGTGTTGGAGAGCTTGGGTTTTTGTCCAGGCTTTGTCTTCAAATCCAGCTTTCTGCTGGGAGGCAGGAGGCCTGAACACAGGATCCCCGATACCTGAATGAGACACCTGGATTGAATCTTTGGCTTGCGGCTTTGGTCTTTCTAACCCAGGTTGTTGCAGAATGAACTGACAGATGAGAGCTATATATCTCTCAAATAAAATATGCTAAAATTAAAAAACAAAAATTTAAGTATTTGAAGGGATATTAACAGAAAAATTGCAATCAACTCAACTTAAAATACATAAAATATGTAAAATAACATAAAATAGAATAATCTGTAAGAAGCCAAGATATTTTTTGATAATCAAATACTAGGATTATAAAGCATACAAAATCTGTACTCCTCTACTGTCTAGTTATGTAAGACCAGTGTTGTGGTGTGGCTGATGAGGTTTTGTTTGCCATGTCATAGTTCCCTACTGGCGTACTATTTGAAGTCCTAACTGGAAAAGCAGCAGAAGACAGCCCAGGTGTTTGGGGCCATGCCACACAATGCCACCGTCTGGGTAGTGAACCAACAGAAAATCCCACTATCACCTCACTTTTCAAATCAGTCTTTAAAAGCCCCCACAAAATAAACTAAGAAACTTATGTGCCTGCACCAAGCCATGAGCTTCCTGTCATGTTATTTTTGTTCCTTTATAAACAAGGAGCTTAACTGTTTTACGACTAGAGACGGAGTTTACACTGCAATGCTGAAGCCCTGCTTCACAGCAGGAGGAGCGATGGGAACGATGTTTTAGTTTTTTAGTCTGGCTTTCAATATAACACCTGTAAATTTTAATACACTTTGGGAGAAAAACATCATAAGATCAGATGGAACCACCTTATCCAGATCAATATGAAAGAAGTCCCATTTATCTCTTTGGGATTTAAAACATTTCTGATATATAAAGGGGAAATCATAAAAAGGTGGTGTGTACAAAGATCCTGGCTTGACACAGTTTAAGAGTCGATTAAGTATTAGCTATTATTACTAGTACTGAACAAGAGTGTATGGAGTCGGGCCCGGTGCGGTGGCGCAAGTGGTTAAGGTCCTCGCCTTGAACACCCGGAGTTCCCATATGGGCGCCAGTTCTATCCCGGCAGCCCCACTTCCCTTCCAGCTCCCTGCCTGTGGCCTGGGAAAGCAGTCGAGGACGGCCCAAAGCTTTGGGACCCTGCACCCGTGTGGGAGACCCAGAAGAGGCTCCTGGCTTCGGATCGGCATAGCATCGGCCGTTGCGCTCACTTGGGGAGTGAATCATCGGACGGAAGATCTTCCTCTCTGTCTCTCCTCTCTGTATATCTGCCTCTCCAATAAAAAATAAATAAATAAATAAATCTTTAAAAAAAAAAAAAAGAGTGTATGGAGTCCTGGGGTAGAGGAATGACAGGTTCTTTAGAAGAGGATATTAAGCACATTAAGTGGTGCCGAACAACCTTTTTCACTAACTTTCATCCAAGGGCACCTGCTCTATTATTTCACCTGGCTCCTCGCTCATACCGAGACCTGACATTCTAGTCAAGGGATTCTTTTGCTTCTTTAGACTACTTTGAATTGAGTTTCCACCACTTAAAACAGAGTTTTCTGGGTCTGGCGGCATGACCTAATGGCTAAAGCCCTCGCCTTGAACGCGCCGGGATCCCATATGGGCGCCGGTTCTAATCCCAGCAGCTCCACTTCCCATCCAGCTCCCTGCTTGTGACCTGGGAAAGCAGTCGAGGACAGCCCAATGCTTTGGGATCCTGCACCCGTGTGGGAGACCTGGAGGAAGTTCCTGGCTCCTGGCTTCGGATAGGCACAGCATTGGCTGTTACGCTCATTTGGGAAGTAAATAATCGGACAGAAGATCTTCCTCTCTCTCTCTCTCTCACTCTCGGTATATAATAAATAAATAAATCTTTAAAACAACAACAGCAAAAACAGAGTTTTCCTTTAAACCTTAAATACAACTAGATGCCATACATTAGCATACTTTAAAAAGTGTATAGAATAATCAT